CAGCGGGCACCGGGACGCCTGGGGCGGTCGGCGGGGAAGGGGTCGGGCTGTGCCGGAGAGGCGGCGGCCGCGGCTGGCGGTACCTGCTCGGCGGCGCTGGGGCAGCAGGCGATGAGCGGCAGCGCCGTCAGGCAATTCAGCAGCAGGCCGCCCATGGTGATGGCGTTGGGCGCCAGCCCCAGCGGGACCTGCTCCACCAGCCAGCCCCAGTACGGCTGCAGCCAGGGCTCCAGCAGCGAGCGCCCGGCCGCGCTGTAGCGGTGCTGCTCCAGGCGCTTCAGCTGCGCCGGGCTGAGGGGCGCGGGCAGAGCCCAGGGCACGGCCATGCCGGCACCGCCGCACCGGACGGCACCGGGGTCACGGAGCCGCCGCCGCTCGGGGCGGGGCCGGGCCGGGGGCAGCGGCGGAAGAGGCCGACGCCCAGCAGCGGCCTGGCCGGAGGGCAGCGGCCGCCCCCGCCACGGCCAGCGCAGGGCAAGCGTCCTCACCCCCGGCGCGCCTCAGGCTCCGTCGCCCCGAGGGCGCCGCGCTCTTCCGCCACCGCAGCGGGCGCGGCCCCGCCTCGCCGTGCTGGGATGGGGATCCCCCGGCGGCGGGGGAAGCCCGCGGTCGTGGCGGGGGTGCGCCCCGGCAGGGCCCGTCCATCCCCCGGGCCGTGGGCAGTCACGGGCCGTGCTGGTCCCCGGGGTGATGCGCCCACCTCTCACCCCTCCTGGATGCGGGCAGCGTGGGTCGAATCCCCCTCTGCCCTGTGATTTTCCTCATTCAGCTTATTTTACTTTCACGCGTTTCATGGTGCAGATGATGGCCACAGCGGGGGCACGCAGAAGGTGGCCGGCAAGGATTTTTGCTGGAGTAAAGTATAAATATGGGCAGCAGGTGACCTCCCTGCAGCCAGCAGGACAGGGCCTGCAGGGAGGTGACCCCACTCTGTCAGCCGAGGGTCCCTCCACCACCTAGAGGAGACGAGCGTGGTTTGCCTGGGGAGTTCTGGTCTTAACATGTTGTGGGACACCCGGACACGGTGTTAGCACAGGACTTAATTTACCTCCTTGGCCTGCATAGAGAAAGTGCTTCAAAACAAATACACTTTTTCAGTAGTGGCACATCAAATTATTTGAATTGGTCACGTGAAGAATTTTAGATGTATCCCTGAATCTCTACAAGGGTGTGTGGTTTCTGAGGGAGGCTGAGGAAAGGTGAGCCCTGTGTAGCTGTGTGAAAGATGAAGTAGCAAGTGTAAAATGCATCCTGCAATGAGTATTATAAACCCAAATGACATCTTAGTTTGGAATTCTTTTTTAAGTTACTCCATTATGAGCCAGAAGGTGCAGCTTTCTGGCCAGACAAAGCCACTTCCTGTTATTCAAAGGGAGCTGATTCACTTCAACTGATAAAGTTAATATGTTTTTGAGTAGGTTTCTTTACTGCAAGAGTCAGGCTAAAGGGTGGTTTCAAAATCCCATGAGGCAGTATGCACGTTCCAAGTGCTATGTCATTCATCAGCTGATTTAATTTACAGATCACTAAAAAACAGTATGGTACAGTATGGTACAGCAATGGTCATTAGAGGCCAAAGCATAGAAGAGAGGAACTGCTAGCAAAAGAAGAGGTAACAGCCAACTAGAGAATGGCTAAAGGGAAATGTGACAAATTCACAACCAGAGAGATCCCCAGTCCGCTGGGATCACTGAGAAGAATGTAAAACTCTGTTTCTTTCAGTACCCTGTGCATTACTGTCACCAATGAATATAATGGTACTGGTATTTACAGAGATGTTACTCAAGCTCTTTGCGATACCAAGAGTTAAAGAAGAGAAACTAGGAAAAAAAGTGGGGGGGAAAGTAAGTCGCATAAAAAGCCACATGAATAGAGGAAGAAACAGATTCCCCACTGAATTAGTCACTGGGCTTGGAGAAGGGTTTATTTTAATTTAAAAAATATTCAGAAACTAAGTATAGAACAAGAGCACATAGATTTAAAGTCCAATGTGTTTAGACTTGCACTACTTCCTCAGTATTCAGGACACATTTTGCTTCCAAATGCTCTCTGCTTCAGCAAAGCAGCAGCTTCACTTGTCAGTCAGGAAAGCAGGACATGAAAATCAAGTGACAGTAAGTACTCTGTGCTTAAAATAGAATGCCTTTTGCTCCAGAATCTCAAAATGCAACAAAAGATTATCATAAAGTAAGAGTCCTTTCACAATGCTCAGTAAAAGGTAGCAATATTATACTTTTCTTTTTCCCCTCATAAAGAAGTTCAGGAAGCTTGAAACATTTTTTTGTAAGAGGAATATTTTTAAAAATTTCTGACTCTCCATAAAGACCTCCTTATAAATGGCATATCCCAGTTTAAATAAGCTTTACAAGATTACATGTGTTTTTTTACTCCTTCCCTTCCTGTATTTCTGAGATTGTTTTTGGTGAGGGAAAAGTGTGCTGACAGTGGCCACAATCTTGCAATGCAACTGGGTAACTACAGTGCCTGTATCAAGCTCCCCACACAGCAATTCAAGAATGGATCTGTGTTATACAACTATAAAATTTATATGTCAAATGCCCTTCCATGGGCAAGAAGAGCAAGCCAAAGGAAGACAAAATATTTTCCTCTGACTTCCTTAAAAATAACCCTCTTTTTTTAAAATTAACTTTGATTCATCTTTGTGTGTGTGTGTATCTATGTGTGTTTACATGTTTGGGTCTGCCTTCTTAGTCCAAGGATTAATGTTCCTCAGCTTATGTACACTAAGGCAGAGCTTTCAAAAATACTGAATTCTTACTAGATGCAGGAAAGTGTGCAGAAAAGAAAAATCCGATTAAAGATTCTGCTGAACTATGACCTCAGCACATACTAGTTGATGGAGACTGTACGTAGCAAACAGGTAATATGAATAATGCATCTAGCTGAAGACTTAAACTGGTTTCACATATTATGAGGCATCAGGGAGCACAACCTGATGCACAAAACTACTGCTGGTTTCACTGCTTCCTTAGCTTTTGTGTTTTGCTACTTTATCTCATATGACCAGGTTTTATTTGCTGTCCTCTGTTACTCCTGTGTCTCTTTCAGGTTCACTAATTACCTGAAAATTCCACGTGACTTTGGAGAAATTTATTCTTCAGAGCATTGTGCCATATCTTTTACAGTATGATATTCTGCTGCTTCTATTTCACCATAAGTTATTTTGCCTGTACTTGTTGTTGTCTTTGGCACATCTTCATTCTCCTAAGCTGGTATTAGCTGCAGATTTCATTAGCATTTTCTGAACTCTGTGTGTTTGGTCATTATTTCATCTATCAAACATCATCCCTGGAGAATCCCATTAAGCAAATCGTCATAAATCAGAAGTTTACCTTTTCTTATTCTCTCTGTATAAGGCTCTGCAGCCTGTTTTAGATCGACTGGAAGTCCCTTTCCTGTCCCACCCCATTCAATCATTCCTGTCAAAGTCAATTAATCTTTAATCCAGAGCCTTGGCTGCTCAGTGTAGTCGGTGAGACCATGAATTTATAGCACACTAATGCCCACTCATCTCAGTTCCACCCACGGCTCCATACCCAGCCCTTCCTGCTGCCGTGCTGTATCTCCAGCCCGAGGGATGGCCAATGGCAAATGCTGAGAAACGCAACTGGGGAGGAACTGAGGGCATCTGAGTATAACGCTTACGTTCACATGGGGAAAAGTAGCTTAGTTCAGCTTGTCGTTTAACACTGCTGGCATCTGGTAGAAATTAGAGCAGCTGATTCCATCGTCAGAGGGCCTACAGGAGCTGAGGTTTATGCTGGCTTCCACGTTATTATGTGTGTGTTTATGAAGACCGAGGAGGCAGATAGACACAAACTTAGAGCTGTAAGCATCATTGTGTACAAAGTGGAGGTGGTTGTGTGCATCATTTTTGGTGTACTGACAAGCACAAACTCACAATAACTGTAGCTTTTGGGGCTGACTATAACAGGCTGGTACTACCTTAATGTGCTTAAATGCTTAAACCTCCATGGCATTTATTCAAACTGACCCACTCCCGCAGCCTTCTGTGCTTCAAAATAGATGGAGTCCCAATTCACTGGTGATATACAGAATAAACAGAAATTATTAATCCTTTATTTATATCTTGTCTTACTAGATGTGTTGCTTTCTTTCATGTGTAGGCGTGAATGAATGTGTAGGAGGGTATTGATTTTGGCAGGAGCAGGGTGAAATGCAGGTGTGTGTGTGGGGGGAGGTTCTCCAGGATTGCTGGAAATGCAGAATGCTTCCTTGTACAGATAGCACTACTGAAGGAATCACAAAGATAGAAAGGACGGAGAGAAGTGAGTAAGTAAAATTCACAGAACAACACGAGAAAACGCATCCAGATCCCCAGAGTGTAAGAAGAGCTAATTAAACTGCAAAAACACCAGTTCAGCCGTGGCGGTTCATAGTAACATATTCTTTATTATTGCATAATTACTGACTGCTGAATGCTCGAAAATGCACTAACATCAAATAAACATCTTGTAATGTACTACTGGTCTAAGTAGACCTTTATCTTTCTAAACTGTAATTGGAGATCAATCATTAACCAGTAAGCACATAACCTGCCCTGTCTGCATAGCCAGAGTGAGAACTGGTAAATAAATGACAGGGCAATAGGGAATTGACAACCTGGCCAAAATATGTGTGACCTTGTGTCTCGTACTTCAGAGTTTGCTGGAGACTTGGGGACAATCACCCCCACTCCTAAAATACTTGGAAGTTAATGATGCCAGAGTTGAAGAAGTAATGCAGCTGTTTTGCCCCGTCTCAGGCACTTTTGCCTTGTACAGTGAACTCACTCGGGCTCTGGTCTGAGTCCCTTTTCAGATACGATACCTAAAAGAGCTCCACAAATTGCTGAGGAAAGGGGGTGGATTCACAATGATGAAAGGCATTGTGGTTGGTATTTATAACATTTAAAATATTTAAATGTGTATATGTAAGAGGAAACAGGAAGAAAACCCATAAAAATAGTAAACAAGAACTTAGTAGATCTTAAACACTTCATATTTATTGTACATTAAATAAAACAATTTCAGTTAAGTTGAGAGACTGATGGGTTGGATTTAGGAAATCAAAACTTCTATAGGAAGATATGTTCAGCTTAAATGATCATTAAGTACATACGTATTAGTTACATTACAGTAAAACCATATTGTGTTAAACAATTCTCAGGTGAATCAGATACATTATCAAAGAGGTATGTATTCCAAGGGTCTTATTGCACAGCTACTGACTAATCCATGTACTTCCAGTCTGAGAAAGATATGCTTTGTGCCAGCGGGTACAGACTCCGACTGCCTCCTCATGTTTATTACATGGTTTCTCCTCTTTCCTCATTAAAAAACAGAACAAAATATCAAACAGAAAATAAAGCTGAACATTACAAAATGTGTGTCGTCTTCAGTTCATTTCATTTCAACCCCAAAGCAATCCATGCGTATTCTTTCTTTTCAGTAAGAGCAGATAGGGAAAACAAAAGAACAATTAAGGAAAACAAAAAAAAAAAAAAGGGAGGAGGCAAAAATATAATAAAATCTCCAACCGCACATTTTTTTCTGTGATTGCAAGAACTCAAATGCTGTTACTCTGCTACCAACTTCCAGTGCAGTGGGAGAAACACTGTGGACGGACTCTCACTTGGCTTCAGTTTTGTCTGCCTGCACTTCACGCATATACGAATCAATGATATGCGGAGGCACTCCATCCATCAATAGTCTGAAGAACGAAAGCCCACCTACAAACAAGAAAAAAAGATAATCTTCAGGTTGAAGGTCCCTGGAGCAACAGCTTTAGTACCTTTATTTTCTGGCATAAGTGACAAGTTTTAGTCAGTCTGTATTGCATACTTTGAGATGTGGTAAAATTCAACCCTGTTCAAAAGTCCAGCATGAGACTTAAGCATTATTTAGTGGGTGCTATACAGCCGTTTCCTGTCCTCTTGCACAGGGTGAATTTCATTTCTAGGATATCATATATTCAGTCATTTATCTCATCCCATGCAGTAGTCTATGATAAGCTTCACTTCAAATGACTCTTGGCTTTCCATCAGGCTGGGTGGAGTAGGGTCAGAGATGGAAGTCAGTACAGGGGGAACAATATAGAAAACACCTGACTGTGATGAGTTGTGGAAAACATGCAGAGATACTCAACTTATTCTAGTTTTGGGTCTTACAATGGTTTATATGTACTTAGCAAAATATTTACCATGCTGCTTGAAAATAACAATTGGGATGATGTATGTGAAAGAATCGTATGGAAAAAAGCCAGGATTTTAGATATAGGTGCCTTTAGCCTCCAGAGAGAGATGATGAAAGTTGAAACTTTCATCTGCTGGGAAAGTCTGAAGAATCATTTTGGGTTTGCTTTTAGATTCACCTTTGAATTTCGCTTTTTGTTGGGGTTGTTCAGCCTGGAAAAGATAAGGCTCCAGGGAGACCTTAGAGCGCTTTCCAGTGCCTAAAAGGAACTTACAAGAGAGATGGAGAGGGACTTTTCACAAGGGCATGTAGTGATAAGGCAAGGGGTGATGGCTTCAAACTGAAAAAGGGTGGGTTTAGATTAGATACAAAGAAGAAATTTTTGACTGTGAAGGTGGTGAGGCACTGACACAAATTGCCCAGAGAGGTTGTGGATGCCCCATGTCACTGAAATAAAGTCACAGAAACTAAACACATGAGTATTCCTGTTAATTTAATTGATATTAATTTCATGATTTCCAAATGATATTTGGAAGAAACGGGGAAAGATATATATTTTGCTAAAAACTTTAGAATCTGCCCCTTCTCCAGACAAAGGGTGTCTTTATTTGCTTTATTTTTATTTGCTTTATCTTTATTTGCTTTATCTTTATTTGCTTTAAAAAAAGCTATATACCATTACAATTCCCCTTACAACTCTGCACGAATATTGTGTTCTGTAAGTTGAAAACCACACGCTGATAGCTGCACTTACCTTCTGAGCTTTTTCTGGAACACACCAAAAGCTTTAAAGCAAAAGTACATTGCCAGGATGAAGATAACACTGTCTCTGAGTGCTTCAGCTAAATGCAATTGAGCTGATACTTACACACAGCATTTATCCCGCATACGGATTTTTAAGAATTTATACCCTTCATTAACACAAGGATTATCCAATTAAAGTGCTATTAGTTACTAGTGATTATGAGACTGCACTGTCTCATTTAACACCGTCATTGTGGTAGAACTGTTCGCTCCCAACCTTAGGTAGATGCAAAATACAGACCAAAAAAAAAAGCATGCTTTTTGGCATTCTTTCAGCTCATGGAGTGCATGTTGTGATACAAGTCATTCATTTTTAAATGAAGTTAACTGTGGAATAAATACTTTGTTTATGTAGAGGTATATTCCTATAAAAAAATAACTTACTGTAAATGCAAAATGCTCTTTTATTACTTGTATTTATTCATGCCAATTAATCATGCTAACTCATGCACTGTTAAATTCCATTGAAACGTACCATTAGAAGATAGTGGGATGTACTACTAAGAAGAATTACCGTAACAAGCAATTATTATAAAAATCTGTATTTATGTGCATTAAAATTATCATGCTACTAACTGTAAACAACATTTTCATTAAGTGACATAATGAAAATCATGCCATACTAGGCAGACATTGTATGACCTGTAAACAGACATAAGCTTCATATGCAAGAACCATATGAAAGCTTACCTTAGATGACAATATACATTCAAAAATCCTTACTGTGGGATTACTAAGGGAGAGAGAGAAAGAGAAGGAACAATTTAATTGCAAACACAAAAGTAGAGAGAAAATGTTGAGTGAAATTATTATTACAATTAAGTCAAGATGATAATTTAATCCTTAGTCATGTAAAATATGTAGGAATAGAAGCACATGAAGAGTAAAAGGTAGGGATCCAGTTCCACTTCAAAATTATCATTAATATGTAAAAGTTATATTAATATGTACAAGTAACTATAAAACCTATAGTTAGTCTAAAGTATAGATTGGAACCAAATTATGCAAACTATATTTATGATAAAAGTTTCCAAATGTAGCTTCAAAAAAGCTAACACATATATATATATAATATTTTCCACCAGGGAAAAAAAGCACACACAAAACACTGAAGGATATATATATATATATATGTTGAAACTCTGTAAGGCAAAATAATCAAGTACAGACTAATTACATACCTGTGCACTAGAATATGTACTTTGTCATATATCCACATTTACATTACTTAAAGCATGCTATTTACTCTGTAGGAGCCCTTACTTTTAATTAAACATTTTGAATCTATAAAACAACCATATATATACATTTATGTATTTGTGTGTATGTAAAGGCACTCAACTTTGTGACTATTGTAGCCTTTTAAGAAAAATACCCTAAAACTTCAAAGCTACAGGAACATTATCTAGTCTGATCTCCTAACGTGTTTTAGGTTTGGAATTGCAAGTTTGGATGATAATATACTACAGACTGGTTTCTGGGCATCATTATAATTTTAAAACTGCACTGTCAATATTCTGACATTTGGGCAAGGTTGCAAGAAAACACATTTTCATAGAAAGAGGAAAATCTCTGAACCCCACTGAACTTGAATGTAAAATAAGTTCTAGAAGAAATTAAATAAATGAAGTAAAATTTTCTGCTTGTAAGTAATTGAATCAAGATTTCATCCTTAAATTCAGTAGGTTAAGCTCAGGTATGGATTATCATTCTGAGCAGTAATTTGTCACCAAAAACTAATCTGTAATAAAGAATGCGAAGGACTTTATGATACTTCTATTCTTTCAATAATTCTACAAACTAACTGAGAGATGGCTTTTTAAAATGCAAACTTCATTCTCCTGGAAAGGTCTAAGTGTAGTGGTCAGAGGTATTCACAGTCATTAAATAAATTCTTTATAGGTACAGGTAGTTCTATGAAATATGTCTAAAACCTTAGTAATTCTGGTGTTAAATACCCATATTCTTGATTAATTTAGCCTTCTTTGCTCATGTGACATAAACAATGTATGCCATGAGACGCTAGCTAGTTTATTCAAAAAAGGAAATAAATACACACTTTGCATGCAGAAAATGCGTTTGCATGTGGAAAGAGAGGAAGGGAATGAAATGGAATGTCCAGAGGAGTACGCGCATTATAAACCTGATTATTCCCCGCCAAGCAGATTGGTTCTCCTGGGTTAATTACTCCATGATAGATCACTGCAGAATTAGAATATTTATAGTGGTATTTATTCGCATTTGAAATTCTTCCCAGTTGATCTTAACACCTTTTAAAAAAATATTTCTTATACAGCAACTTTGCTATCACCAACCTGCCAGAGTGATCACCAACCTGGATTTCACTTTTAAGATAAAAGTCCTCCAAAGCCATTTTTTTCATGATAAAAGAGGTACCGCACCTTATCTAATTCTTTTCATTGACCTCAGTGAGACTGATAAGGAATCATTCCTTAGTGCTACTAATGTGAGATTTAGAGCCAAATTTAGGGATCTACCTCAACAAACTCAAAGATATATATGTTGTTTTCTGTAGTAAGATGAGTATGAAACATGCAATGAGACTCTGTTTATGCATTATCTTTCAAGGTAGATGAGGTAGAGTTATTCTCTTCTCTAAGATCTATTACATTACTTTTTACAGCACACTTATATTTACAAAAAAGGCCACTGTATGTGCAATTGTACAGGGCAGCTCATATAACTGCCATCTTTAAGTTCACCCAGCAAAACTTAAAACTGAAGAACGAAATACTGTCCATCTGAAATAACATCAGTACATGCAAAACCTCTTTTGAAGATAGAATTAGTTTTTACTATTTTAATTGTTGTGCTTATAAGTTTCAGGAAATGAGAATTAAATTTAGCAATGACTAGGAGTCATTGCTTTTACGCCTAAAATAATGTAAGCAAATGGCTATAAATGTAGAAATATGTAGCATCCTGATAGGATTCATAGCCAGACTGTTCCTAGCTAGTCAATTATTCAAATATTATGCAAAATCAGAAATGCTAGGCTGTTCTGTGAACATTCCTGGGACTGAGCTTATATATCCATGATAAATTTCAGATCTCCCATATGACAGAGATAGATGGCTAAAAGTAATTCTAGCCAACATAAGGAAAAATAGCTTGCTACAATATATGCTGTTGCATGGCATAGAGCTCTTTAGCATGACTTACTAGTAAGTAAGTAATACCTACTATTTGTAGTAATAGCATTTACCTTGTGCATTCACCAGATAGGTAGCACAGCCTTGAGCCTGTTAGTCTTATTCAGGCAACAGTCAACTATCTCATCATCTTACAAATCCAGACCTTGATTGTTACTTGCTGGAATAAAGCTGAACCAATTTAAAGCTATACAAATGAAAACACAAACACAAACACACACACACACACACACACACACTGCAATTCATTTCCAGTGAGTGAGAAATCCGCAGGTCTCTGCTCTGCATCAGTGTGATGAGCAGTCATCCGAAGAGCCCTCCTAAATGAACAAACAGGCTGGGAAACTTAAAAGAATGATAATTCAACATGTAAGTCAGTAGAAGAGAGAAATAAGATGTAATTATGTTTTTATATTCTGGCTGTTTAATAGTAATTTGCTATATTTGCATAGAGCAAACCCTGAGCCTTCCCTGGTTTGCTAAGCCTCAGCTGCTATATTCAGTTAATCCTGTTCCCCTTGAATCCATCGGTTGAACCATGAGCTAGGGAAGGTGGGGTTTAGGTTAAGGAAGCAGCCCATTATATGGCTAGTAAGAGATTAACAACACATTATTTTCTGAACATTATATGCAAAAAACCTCTTGGTAAAACAGAGGAAATAAGTAAACATCTTCTTGTATTTAAAATATAGCATTTGACTGTACTACAAGCAAAGTGCTGAAGACTAAAAAGCTACAACTGAATGTAAATGTGCATAAGAATCTTAGGGCTTGGGAACTTAAAATGTTCAATGAAATAACAACCTAACTTGGCTTTTCAGTATAAAAAAGATAGACTAAGCAACCTTCTCAGGTGATGAGGTCTTCTGTTCTGCTGTGAAATAGAGAGTTTGCTTGTGCTTAAGGAAAACAATCATTTGCGGTACAAGGACATTGTCTTTTAAACGCAGTATCTTAAAAGATAAAAACTAAGAAACATATTATGCATATTTTCATTACATTAAGTGTTCAACTTCATAGGCCAAACATTTACTGAAATGTCTTCTTGTTGGCAAATTTGAGCTGTGGGATAAGATATATCAGAAAATACAGAAAAAGGAAATTGAAGTAAACACAATACAATCCATACAAATATTAAATGTGGTTGTCATTATAGACTAGCATGATGGAAGAAATATAGATAGGACCATATTGATATCATCTAAATTCCCTCTAAATTCCTTAGTTAGACACCTCCTATTAGCTGGCTTTAGGTAGGTTTCCTTACTTATAACCTCAGATTAATTTTTTTCAGAAATACTTTGCTTATTTGACAGTTGAAACTAAAGCCTTTGGTGGGAATTAGTCCAGCTAAATATGACGCTATCTTTTCCTAGGAAGTAATTTTCTGGAAAAAAAGGTCATGAGATTCTTCATTAGTAGTCCAATCTAGATCCATTTGCCATTCATGATATTCTAAACTACCTGAAATTCATAAAATTTATCTGTTAATGAAAACAAAAATAGTTCTTCAGTTATAGAAGGATTTTGCAAAATCCATGGGTTTGTATACTGTGTTCTTAAAGCAAATGCAGCAATTATATCAACTAGTTTGTGTCCTTGGGAACAATACTACTTTTTACTATGATTTGCGAACAAAGTTCCTTGGATGCAAATGTCTGGTTTGCTTAATAAATAGTTTTACAGCGGACCAATTCTTCCCTGAACTAATCTTTCTTCTTTCTCTCCTTCTCCCCTTGTCATTTGCTTCAGAGAAATGCCCCTTATCTGAGATGTTTTGCTTAATGTTTTCCCAGAGAGCTCAATGAGTTTTACTGGAGTGTCTCAGGTAAATGGCACAGCTCTGAGTTACAGTCTACCGTGCTGTCACTAGTGAAAAAGTCCTTGAAATCACTGAAGATGTGAATCATCATTGAGGAAAATGAAATAGAGCATAAGCATAGTATGTTGGTCCTCAAAAATAAAACAAAGCAAACAATATATTTTTTCCTTAATAAAGTTATTATTTGAATACAGGAAGGTAAAAAAAGCTGTTTGAACTGCCTTTTGGATTTGCCTTATGTACTTTCGGCTCCAATTCAGACAAACAGGGCCTTTGCAATATTTTAAAGGCCTTACCTTTTACTTCCAGTTTGCAGTCCACTTCTGCCTCTCCAAGTTCATTGACTGCTCGGCAGCTGTAAGTACCTCCATCATAGGGACTGGGTTTGCGGATTTCCAAGGTACACACACCTTGGTTGCTGAACATTCGGTACCTTGGGTCATTCATTATAAGGACTTTGTTTTTCATCCAGGTTATTTTGGGCTGTGGTAAAAAAAAAAAAAAAAAAACCAAAAACAAAACAAAAGAAAGCCCACATGCACAAATTGTGAACTATTTTATCACTTCTTTGTGATGTTCAGTTAAAACAATCTAGAAATGATGGAAAACAGATGAAGTAGTGATAGAAAGGAAACTAATTCTTTTCTCAAAGATAAACATGGGCTGCATCATACATCTGTTTATAAGCATGATTTTTTTTCAATGCAGCTCCTATCACATAATTAAAGTCATAAATTTAAGCCTGCTATCAATACAACAAGGACTGTGCAATGATAGCAAATATCTGAGCACTAGCTTTTGACACCCAATTACTCTGAGTTAACAAGAAAAGCATGTTTTTCTGCAGTAATTTACACAGTCAGAAATTGTGAAGGTAAAGAGTGAACAGCAAACATGTTCTTAAACACTCTGGAGTTCTCATTTTACTAGGCCAGTTCAGCTTCTCACAATAGAGAATAGATCACAAAAAGACACAGACACAGAAACCACAAGACACAATGTGCAGTGGGTCTGAGAAACAAAATGATCCCCAGAGTATTCCTGCAATGTGCTTACTTAAAGAATAATTAGCTTTTTATAGAATAATTATGGCTTTATTTTTGTAATAACCTTTACTGATATATTAATTTTACAACTGTTGTCAGTGTGGGTCCCAGTATAGCCCAGCCTTTTCCTGAGGTTCTGCCCTTTCACTATTTGTGGATTAACTATTATAGTGCCTATAGCATGAGTAAGTAGGTCCTTTTTTTTCATTTTTGCCTTCAGCCTGGCTTGTGAGAGAGACAAATGGCAAAAGTGGTTTTATAATTTGCATTGTCAGGTTAAACTCTCTCAAGTTTTAAGTGCTGTTAGGAGCTGTGCTGTACCTTGGGGTTGCCCCGAACACTGCAGTTCAAAGTAGCATTGTAACCAGCTATGGCAAAGGTGTTGACTAGAGGCTGAGTAAACAACGGCCGTTCACTGAAGTCAAAATCATCGTAAACTGGATATTTGTAGACTTTACCTATGAAATGAAAATAAAACATTTTTGAAAAAGAGTGTTGGCATGTAGACAAATACCCAAGCATCTTAAACAGCTACGAGGAGTCGGTTCTGATCTGCACTGTGACTCTAGTAATTGCACTCGTAGGGGAGGCTGGAGTGCACCTGCAAAGTGACTACAGCCCCTACCCATGCTACAGTGTTGATGCCCGAGAGCTTCTCTTTGTTTCCTGTGTAGGTGGTATACAAAATAACACATGTTTATTCCATGTCTTTGCTTGATTTCCCTGTGTGTTACAGAACAGGACAGATCATGACCAGTGTACTGCAGGATGCCTACCTTTGACAAGCCTTGTTCACTCTGTTGCCAACTACTTTTTCACAGTTTGTTCTGCTTACAAACTGTCTCTGTATCTGAAAATCCATTTTTCTTTCTGCTTCAAACACTATACTAATAATACAGATACCTGAGGGGATGTAGTTTCTGTACAAGGAAAACATGGTAGTAAAATGTGTTTTCTCACTGCCACTTTATCCCTGCTCTGCAGTGGAGATTACCATCAATAAATCTTCTTCAGCCACAAACTCAGCCAGCATTTAAAACAGCTGGACAGGCAGACATCTATTCCTGTGCACGGGTATCATCAAACATCACTGTTTCACTGAAACCTGATCCAAGCTCTCATACTGACTTCAGTGCAGCTCAGGCCTGATACTTGCTCTCATGAGAAGGGCAAGTAAGGTGTGATGAAAATCAATTTCTATACCCATTGTTCATGACCCTATTTCTAAAAGAGAGGACCTTCAGTTCTTCAGCCTGGCAGTGTGGGTTGTACAGGTTGTCTGTCCTCTGCATCATGGCAGTCATGTATTCCTTCCTTTCAGACAAGCTGAGGTGATCTGGTTTGATTTTCTTCCTGTGAGCCACTTGTTTGTAGAATTCCCCTTCTGTAAATGGGCAGGGTTTTTTGTCTGGTTGGGGTTTTTTTAAAGTTTACAGTACCATTTCAAACTGCCAGCTTCTGAAATGTCAGAATTTTTGACTGCAGGATCAGAGTTTGTCCAGCCCCACCCTCAAGAGATGTGAAGCAGGAGTTATGCTTTCCTGTTGGATCCTGCCTGAAATGGAGGGAACACTTGCACAGCTGATGCCAAGTCTCCACTGGGAGGCAGTGACCCACTGCTTCTAACAGAACAGCTGCTTTAATCCTCTTCCAGCTCTTGTCAGCTTACATCTGCCAGTGGTGATGTGAGTCTGAGATCCAAGACCATAGGACAGAACATGGGAAAAAAGTCCCACTCCTGATTAAAACAATGCCTGTGAACTATGTGTACAAATGAAGAAGGAAGTGCCTTAATAGGAAGTGCCCTAGCTGTTGGTGGCACCTGGTCTTGGGGCTAGGAGTGCCTCTGAATGCTCTAGAGATATGGCCTTTACCTCTGATCACCCTCCAGCCTCTGAGCACCCCCCTTCCCTTTTGACAAGGAATGGATAATTAGCTAACCATCCTTTGCAATCAAAGCACTCTCTTTGGTCATCGTTGCATCCTCGCTGAGGCCACACATGTTCTCAGCGAAGACCCTGAAGTAGTACTCGTTTCCTATGATGAGCTCATTGATGGTGGCACTGGTGCGATGGTAGTGCTCGATCACTGTGAACCATTCCTGAAAGGCACAAACACAGAGGGTGAGCTTCCCCACAGCACCCTGCACCTCGCAGACATCAACTGGAAGAATCATCAAGCTTGTGGGAGTAGATTTTTCTTTGAAGGGAATGTTAGTGAACGCTAAAGTAGTGACACTGACAATAATTAATGAAATGAGTGATGATGAGAACTCTGCAGAGCTCAGTGATGAGCAGTGAAGGCCGAATGGAAAGTGAATCCTCCTGAATTGTCACACCCTGGTAGCTGGAGGGGTTTGTTTCAGGCAATCCAGTATTACAAAGGTGCTGTTGTGTGAGCAAGGCAGGCACCCTCATTCCTAATTCAGTCTGCTGACAGAGAAAGTACAGTTGCAGATAAGAAAACTTCAGCTTGGGGGCGAAGGCAGTAGCATGTGCTATTCTGCAGTAACATGTACTCACAGGAGACCACTACACTCATCTACCCTCTCTGTCACAGGTTGAGCGTTCATGAGAAATGTAGTTTTATGCCAGTGGTCTGGCATAAAAAGGCTCATCTAAAGTCGTATCATAAAAAGGCATATCTAAAGGCTCATATGGGGAAGTGGGTTTTAGTGCTTTGGTCTTGCAGCAGTAACAGGACATGTGAATTCTTTCCTAGTACACAATGCTTAAGTAACAATCTGAGATGAAAGAGGTCAATGCTAAAAATGCAATTAATATAAAGTGCAATATGACCACAGCAATGTTTTTGCTTTTCTTTACTCTGCCCTACATAGTTTTCTTGCTTTTCTCAAGATGAACTTGTGCTGAGTTCCCTGTACCACAGTTTGCACTGCTATTTGGTCAACTTAAAGAGCCAAAGTTCCTTTGCAAAAACAGTTTTCTGTAGAAGGCCAGCTGTGCCAGAATTGCAAAATGCACCATCACAGATAATGTGAGGAAACTGTGACCTGAATGATCCATGTCCAGTGGACCCTAGATGCTTCTGTTGTTACTTTCTCCTTAACACAGTAATTTAGGGAGAGGGGACATTGTTTTGATTACTGTACCAGCGACCATATCTTCCTACAGTCTCAAGAGGAAAAAAAAAAAGGATGGAAACGGAAACAGTGACACAGGAAGAATGAACTGATCAGACCATGAAGCAGATAAACATATTAATGCAAGGAGTTGGGGGAGAAGACACTAGAAGATTCTCTTGGATAAGGTAACTCCCAAAATGTTGTCCTAGATTTCTAGTGTTTAAATTTGCAGTAAATGTTAAATCTAAGAATCCAACTACTGTCTTTTAAGGATGTTAAAAATTCCTGTTAGTTTAATGAAAATAATGAACATTTCTATATTACACTTTTCATCTGTGAATCTCAAAGCAGTATAGGCATTAATAGGTACCATTTTGTCAGGGGTAGTAAGGAGTGGCAATGACTCACACAGTGTGACATTACAGGTTTGAAAACAGCAGCACCAGTACAACAGTTTGTTCTAGTAGCAACTTACTGACTTTAGAATTAATTTTTTTGAGGTTTTATTGTCTCTACTGAGACAAGGGAAAAATGCAGAATTACTTCTCTCAAATCCACTTGTCCTCTTTTTTGGCATAATTTGAAAACATTTTTATTTGTAGGCTTTAGTTATAGTGAACAAGAGATTTTTAGAGGTTTTAGAGATGCCTTACAGATTCTTTGAATGCTGATAAATCAATGCTTTGTCCACCTACATAATTTTAAGCATGTAATGCTTTTTGTTTTTAAAAGGGAGAATTCATGAGTACATCAAACTTTTAAACATCTCATTTTTACTTACCATACTCTTCTTATCTGCTTTTTGAATAGTGTACCCAGTAATGGCAGCATTTCCATCATCCTTTGGTGGCTTCCATGATAAATTTACATTCTCTCCCCAAACATCCTCAATAGTTACAATCTCTGGTGGGCCTGGGCGATCTGTAACAAAAATATAGCAGCTGACATTTTCTACTCTTTGCTTTCTCTGTCTTTTTCCTACACACATCTTCCACTTAGTTTAATTTCTCTCTTTCCTACAACACACGCATGCAAAAAAACTCAAAACCAATGTCAAAACGAAGGTTGCAAGGTAAAACTTTCCAAAGTTAAGATGTGAGAATTGAAATAAACTTAATATTTAAAGTTGTGCTACCAGTTTTGACTACCATGTAAAGAAATAGATTGGTAAAAATGAAAAGTAAGTGTGTTTTCTTGCCTGTCTTTCCTACCTTCATGTACTTTCAACATTTAGGATTTATTTTACACTACAGTTGTGACAAACTTGCTATGAATTCACTGCTATTTCTGGCTATGGGTACCACTCAACAGGAAAAAACTTGCATCCTGGATAGGAAAGAACCTGAAGGGCATGACAGTGAAAAAAGAGACTGACATGTTCCAACAAGCATCTGCTATTATTTATGGAGATTATTACTTAGAGTCCACAATTCTATAGCCAAGTAATTGGATGTGGAGAGTTACCACTATGTTCTTTGGGATCCTTGTTTTTCCTATAGGCCTGGAATTTCCTATAGGCTGGATTTATTTCCGTTTCTCAAAACATACCAACAATCTGAATATCTATCGTAGCTTTGTCCACCAAGTTCTCTACTTCCACTGTCATATCATATTCTCCAGAGTGCCCCCTCTCTGCCTTTCGGATGAAGATGATGGTGTCGTTTTCAGTGTTGCGGATGTTGATTTCATTCTTGTCGATTGGAGAACCGTTTTTCTGCCATGATACTTTTGCCCGTGGTCTTCCCTGCAAGAAGCCAGGAAACAATTTTTATATGAATTTTGGAGAGAAAAGGGAAGAAAAGAAAACAGGTTCATTTCCCATTTTTCCCAAACAGGAAATAAAAACTGTCCTGAAAGAAACAAAAAATTCTTTTTTAAAATATACAGCATTTAGAGATGCAATCATAGCAATGCACCTGAAATACAACTTTCTTTCCTTTTTTTGCCCCAGGATATTGAAAATATTTGCACATTCTGGCTATATTGAGCAATTATCTTTCTGGCTATATCTGACAAATAACTTCCAGTTTTCTAAAATAAAAAGGAGAAAAAATAACTCACAGAAAATACAGAATAAAGTATTTCACCCTCTGGAAGTGCTTACATTCTCTCTACTGCCAGTGAAAGAGGAAATAGTAGACTAAGACTCTAGGGAACCTAAACTCTCTTCTTTCATTGCAAAAGAAGTTGGAATAGCTGTTAGGTAGGCTGGATGATGTCTTTTGTGTGCCATTTTTTGTATATCTAAGTGCCCAATTTAGGTACTTAATTTAGAGTGAATTCCACCTGCTTTACCATGGGATTTGCCTTCCAGAGGCAGTTTGTAGATGCTATCTGAAAAGGGTAATTCTCACACTGCTTTGAACACCTTATCTTAGAGAATAACCATAGACTTTAATCTCTTTAATTAACCATAGATTTTAATGTTCCTTTAATTTCTCAAGAGAAGTATAGCTTGCAGTGTATTGCTGATCAAGCTTTTATAAGGCTTTTAGCAGCCTTATAAAAGCTGAGTTATGCCCACCCAGTATCTTTAAGTGTGCAAACATGAAATAGAAATGAATTCTTCCTTAATTCTTGTATCCAGAAGAAGGACTCTGCAAGTAAAGAGACAGTCACTGTTGTAAAAGGTGTGGGAATGAAGGTTAACATGACACTGTAGGAAAACATGCTATACATTTAGAAATAGTCATATTTGTGATCACAAGGATTTAAAAGTTGCAGTCTGCCCACTCCTCCCCTCACTTTTCCTCTCTCAAGAAAATTATTGAATGCTACTGTTCCACCCACAATAACTATATCTAACAGTGTAAGCACTTTGCATTGTGCTAGCAATTATCTCACATGTAACATCTACTGCAAGGATTAATAAGTGTCCTTTGGATGACAGATGACCAATCAGTCTGTCTGATCTAGCTACCCAGTTCATTACTTGGCTGAACATAATTTCTTTGAGATGTCAAAGCAAAAGCTTTCAAACACCTCTGTGCTTCAGTGTGCTTCCACACTGCTTAAGTTACAGAGAAGTTAAAAAGCATCAGTATAAAATCAAACAAACAAACCACAAAAAAAGCCCCAAAAACCAAACAAATGAGAATCTTTTTAGCTCTTACCTGGAAAGGAATAACAAGATTCACAGTTTCTCCAACTCTTCGAGTATAAGTTTGTTTTAAGTGTCTTGGTAGACGAATCTTAGGAGGTTCTGGAAAAAAAAAAAAAGCTTGTGCATTACATTTGTCTTCTAACTGAGGCAGCACTGGTGGGCATCAATATAAAATGGAGACTATGTGGTCTACAATTCCCAGAAGTGACTAATGTGTGAGGTATCTTAAATTTCTTGGTCCCACAGTGTTACATTTAGTACTCCATCAGGTTTTAGAACACCAAATGCTATGGTGGTAGGAATAGGTGAGAAACTTAGTGCAACTTTAAAAAGGCACCGTCAATTTTAAATTCTGCAGGAAAAAAAAGCCCTAAAAAAACTGAGATAAAGGCTCAGAAATGAAACAAATAAAAATAATTATGACATGTTTTTAAAGGTGGTTTCATGATTTCTAGCCATAACACAATGGCTTTGTAAGGCTGTATCATCACTTTCCAACAACAAATAAGCATTAGCCTTAAAAAATCAGGTCTCAGTATGGAAACAGAGCGTATTTGCGGGTTAAGTGTAGGCAGGAGGATCTTACCTATCACTTCCTTGACTAAAATAGGCTGTGGGTGGTACCTGGGCTCACTTTCACCAGCAGCATTCACAGCTTTTACTCTCACAAGGATTTTTGAGCCAGTGGGCAGGCCATTGATGGTAAACTTCGTTTTGTCTGTCAGCTCCGGGTTAGCCACGATCCATTCATCAGCTGGTTCAGGGAAATGGAGGGAGGAGGACAAATCGAAAGAACAGGGAATTATAAATACACCCACTGCATGGATGAGGAAAATTACAAAAGAGTAATAGATACATTAGATTCTAATGAATAATTCTATTTTGTTTTTTTCTAATTATGCTGTAAACACAGTATAGGTTCACTTTCATACATAGGAAGAATGTTTTAAACCTTAAGGGGTTCCTGATGATTATATATTTATATATAATGGTACAAATGTTATTAGAATATGTCTATAATTTAATTGTGGCAGAAAGAAAACCGGTTAGTTTTTTTAATTCAGCTGGTAGAAAACAAGGGGGACAAAGAGTATATTTCCAAAAGCACTCATAATTTCTTTAGCAGCTTCCTTGGAGAGAAATGGGGTTTGCAATTAATCTCAGCTGGTACTGAGTAGCCTTGAAAGTAGAACTGAGGAATAAGAGAAACACAGAATATTTACATATTGCAATGAAATGCCATCTCTCCTTGTGCATTTAAAAAGGGAAGGCTGTGTCAGAATTATTCACATAATTACATCATTCTTGGGTTTTTAATCCTACCCCTAGGCAGTTGCATGTAAGTCATAGAGTGATCCTAACAGTACAGTCTTTCAGAAGAGCTTCAATTACAAATAACACTTTCTTATCCACTCTGTCGTCCCAACATAGGCTGCTGTAACACTGCTGGCACCTGGACATTGGAGCCAGGTTTATGAACTAGCAAGTCAGGATCAATACTTTCCATGTCATATGAAGATAGCATTATAAAATGGGCACAGAAGACAAGAGAGCTATTATAAACTAGAGAGCCCTGCAGATTCAAAGTATAATGCTATGATATTTTTTCATAACTGCGTGTCTTACTTTTAGGAATAAAGTTCTCCTTCAAGCTGCTTCTTTCAGCTTCTAGCAGAAAAGGATTGCAATCGATGACTGTTTCCCAAGAACCTCCCCCTCCCCTTATACATGTACTACAGAAAATTCTGCAGACTGTTGCCCCTAAAAATCACTCTCAGGAATTTATCTTTGCTTTTATGAAGAGAGTTTTTCTTTTCTTAAAGAAGATTTATATCCTTTGTTGAATACTGTACCTTCCAGGTTAAAAGGTGGCTCCAGCAATTCCTCAGACAGATCTGTCGATATACCTTGTGAGAATCCATCTTTAAAATTAATCAGAGACACCCACTTTCACATAGATGGAGCATTTTGTCAGTGGTTAGCAATTCCTGTTAGTAAGTATGCAAAGATAGATGCTGGGCTTTAAAGATTTAGAGGACCCATATTTAGGGAGACTGCAGGGAGAAAAGAGATGGGAAGAAGGCATCTAGACCACAGCATAGTTATATGTGATGCCCACAGGAAAGCTAAAGGATAAAGGAAGAGGAGGAGATAAGTTTGTATATTTTTCTTTGGGCCTGAGCACAGCCCTAGAAATATGAAAATGAAGAGACAAAAGGAACATTTGGAAGAGAGAAATGAAACAAAGTGATGATAGGAGAAAGTGTAGGAGAAGAAAACAGATCGTAGAAGAGATAAGAAATTCAGAGATAAATTCTGAGTAAGAGAGACAGAAAAAAAAAAGAGGTCTTGGAAAAAAACTTGAGGAAACAGATGAAGAGAACACATTTAGCTGAAGGCAACACAGAATATTAAAGAAGACCAAACCCATGGATGATGACAGATATGATGTAGACCCTAAGGCTTTATTTCCTGGACGAAGCTATCACTGCCCTGGATTTCCTGTAATCTTGGAGTTGGCTATTTTCAGGATAATAAAAATATTATTCTAGTATCTGTGCATGGTCCTGGATGAGTACACTGGTAAAGATCTCAGCCAACAGACACTCTCTGAAGTGCTTATTTAGTAGCTATGAAAACAGATCATGTGCAGGTACAACAGCCCGTTAAAAGCAGATAAACGTAGTGTCCTAGGGAACACTAGGGCCGAGCTCCTCAGGCAACCCTTGAAATGTCCCACAAGAACCAGTCATCAGCATACTTTACTAGTAACTGACTTCTCCAATATCAACAAGATTTGGTCTACTCTGCATCACCATAGCAAAAGGTTCAAGTTGGACGTTGAAAACTGGACCTGGGGAGTTCTATATTCGTGTTAGTCACACCTATGCAATGCTGGACCCAGATACTCATGATGAGACTCTAGTTCAGTAATAAACACAGAGAGCTGTCAAAACTAGTAAGGAAGTCCAAAAGTCCGCTGCAGTGATCAAGTTAGGAGCTTGAGACTAAAGGGAAATACCAATTTTTGCAAAGCCAAACCAATGCTCACGATACATTATTCTTTTGAATTATCATGATATAATTTTTGTCTTTCTCTTTTCAGCTTGTGATTTTTCCTAATGATTGCTATGCTAAGGAAGACTCGAAAAAACCCTCTTTAAAAGTATTTCAGTGACAACAATGAAAGAATGGAGAATGTAAAGACAAATGAGTTTACAAACAGATAACTAAGAGAACAGAATATTAGAATGAATATAGACAGTCATAAAAAGTACCTTGAAATTAAAAAGAGTTATTAAACATTACAGAAGAAATTAGTTTGAGGCAGAACAGGCAGTAAAAAGACTGAGAAAAGGAGGCACTGAGATATTGCAAGAAAGGAAAAAAGGACTTTATGGAGAGAGAAAAATTTATAATCCAATAACATGACTTAAAATTGGTATTTTCTACTTATCTTGCTTCTTCCTAAATATTTTTATAACATATATACATAATGTCAATTGTGTATATATAGATGTATATGCATATATAGGAGGCATATATAGATATACATAAAACACTCAGAAAACTATGTAAAATACATTGTACCCATTGTATTTTAACTGAGATGGGTTACAATAAAATGGCAGATGACTGCCATTTTGTTGTATCTTCGTATGTTTTAAGCCTATCTGAAAAAAAAGTAAAAGAATTTGTTCCATTCAACAGGTATAAAATGATCTTCTGTCTAACAGTCCTTTAAAGATAGATTAGGAAGATTCCTCTGACAGACATAGTTAGAATTAATGTATTTATATTTTTCATTCTCTCTTGTCACCTTATTTGGATATCATACTGTAATGTCAAGGGGTTTGTGACAGTAGCATGTTACAAGCACTTATAACTTTTCCCTGCCAGTCTACCAGTGCTAAACAAAGCAGAATATAAAGTATACACTGAAGTCCTCACACTGACACTTCCCTTTATATTCCCCTACATCTGGCCTGTGAATGGAAACAATATAGGAATACTGCATCTTAATGGAAGACTGCATGCTTACTCGTTCTGAGATGTTCCCGCAGCTCCCTCCCAATACACAAGGAAAACCCTTCCTACCATTCCAGCTGTGTTTGCCTTCAGGTGCTCTTCTTGAGGTCTCTGAGCTTCTTGCAGTCTGTTTCTGCTCCTTAAAGATATTCAGCTAAATACTACAAGATGCTGAGTGCTCCTGAGAAAAGCCAGTGGTTCTTCTTCACACCCTCTCCCACTCGCCTGGGAGAGAGCTGAGCGTACTCATCGGGTGGGATCTGACCACTTTTATGAACTACTGTTTTCCTGGGTTTCTGAATCTGAAACGTGACAGCGTGAATGACAATGTCCTCTACCTCTTGTCTCCAGGCTGTGGACTGCATTCATTAAAAGGTTTCATTGAAACAAATGGCTTCATGAAAAAAGTTATGTAAATCATAACTTGATTTACAGCACAGTTGAAAGCAGCAGCTAGTGGAGCTGAAGATATCTGTGTCCCATTAATCCACAATGTTGCTGCAGTTGATGGTGTTGGCCCACAGAGGCTGAGTATTGCACATACCACTCCAGGCTATTTTATACTTACCCACGTGCTGGTGGATTTTACTTTTTGAGAATAAACTTCATTTGATGCCAGTTCAGAAAAAAATCTGCTAGAAAATACTAAGTTTCTGCTGCTTGATCACCAAAGACAATATTTACAACGTATTAATTGTAAAATGTATTTCCCTACTCTCAAATGTTTATGCAATCTCTGGTATCTTTATCTGTCTCCTTCAGTTCTGTATCAACTTTTGTCTTAGGCAGACATAGTTGAAGATCCCATATAAGACTGCACTGAAACATTGGAGAAATTCAATATCTAGACATAAACTTTGCATGTCTACATGTCTGCATCTCCTACAGGAAACTTAGTGTTGGGGACTTGTGCTTGAAGTAGCCAATTAGTGATATGTCAACATAGGGATTACCACACTGAGGGCTTCCTGTCCCTAAAACCCAATTGAACATATTTTGGACCACACTCATTATTTTTTATACATTCTTGCATCCATCCACTCTTTGCTGCCTTGACTGTCACAGCTTCCAAAAGAGGATAGCTATTAACACAGTACTTGGTACACTGCAACAAATTATATGGCTTTTGATTTGGATTTCAGATCAAATATAAGATGTGTTGAACTACAATCAATGAGTGGGATCTGGAATACAAACCAAAGGAAGCCTGAACAAAACCCTGCTGCTTGAGGTTTTCTGACTGATTAGTCTCTGCCTTACAGTGAGAGCACCTGATACCCATAGAGAAAAAATGGAGAAAGTCTCACCTACTTTCACCATGAGTAACATACCCCAGGCGTTCCCACTTACTTCCTTCAAAGCAGTACTCTACAACATAGCCGTCCAACCCCGCCGCTCCGATCTGGTCGGGCGGCCTCCACTTCATTGTCACCGAGGTGTCAGTCACTCCGTCCACTGCCAGGAGAGTCGGTGGGCTGGTAACAGCTGAAGCAAGCAAGCAGCAGCGAGAAGGCAGAAAACTGTGTTACAATTAAAGGTTTACATTTATGGTCTGTATTCCTTTAATTTAGCATCCAGGTGACAGGCTAAATCCTGCCTACCAGGATGATTTCAAATCATCCCTGGCACAGCTTTCTTTTGACTAGGACCACATGAGGAGAAGCAGCTACCTCATCCCATATCTGCTCACAGCCTAAGACAGAGATAAATTCCTCCTGCTGAGGAGAGAGAAGGATAAAGAGCTGTGGAAGGTAGAGCAGAGAAGTTCAGAGCAGTGTATTCTACCATAGCAGGTATTTTCTGTCAAGAAATGAGCATGCTGTAGCAGTAACAGCCACCTTCTTCCCTCTCCTCTTTGTTCTGGGCGTGCTGCTGAGCAAGGTGGGAACCTTTCCTGGCCTACAGAAAAAGACACTGCTCTTTTACAGGGACTTGTGGTTGTCACAATAGTTTGAAAACCTGCTTCTTTATATGAAGAGGCAACAGAATTAGTCTGTCACTAGGTGAATGACAAGGCCTCCTAGCTGTTACATTAATAAAAAGCAGTAAGATGACATTTAGAATAGTATAAATCAGGATTGTCTGCAAAAGGATATTAAAAATACGTGATTCCTTTCTGGGAAAAAAGTCCCTGCTTAACCTAATGGGGAATCCATGAGGCATAGAGTGAAATTAGGGACTATTCAAATGTATCTTATCCTGTGATTAGTTGCAAAATTGGGCACATTTTTTCCCATGGGTTTCTACCTTTATGACCTGTAATTTTTTAGAAATGGAAATGTATGAATTATTTGTGACTACCTGTACGTTTTAAAATGGCAAGCTACTGTGTAGCAAAGCCTAAATAGTGAAATGTGAAAGAAAGCCTCATTTTCACTCGGTGCAGCCTGCAAACAGTGATCTTTAGACTTCTCATTTTTCCTGACCATTTTTGGCCAAAAGCCAGTGATTGCCTGTGATTCATCATCTTTACCTATTCTCGAAGTTGCCGTTTTGACTGGCAATAGTTTGACTCTGTTGATTCAGGATGTGTCTAAGATACACAAAAATGTGGAACTATTAGTTCTGGTCCTTAAAACACATTGACTGCAGTACTGACCATATCAGGCTCACCTATAGTAACACTGGTTTATTTTAGTGCACCGTTCTTCTGTCTATGCATGTTTGTCTCTTGTTTATAAAAGACTGTAGTTCCAGGGATAGACATGTACTTTATGAAGCACCTCATAAAGACAGGTCCTGAGCAACACAAGTGCCACAAGAACTACAGTTGTATAATCAGAGGACTATAATAATGTATTAATAATTGTGTTCTAAATACATGCCTGTCTCTGTGCTCTTGATTACTTACCTAAAGGAACAAAGGACTTTGAAGGCATACTTGGTTTGGACATGCCTATTGCATTAACAGCAAATACACGGACCTCGTAAGCAACACCTTCAATCATCTTCTTTGGCTCAAAAGTTGTTTCTTTACACAGTTCAAAATTCAGCCTCATCCACCTGGAGCTTTGTTTCTTTTTCCTCTCAATGAAATATCCTATTGACCAAACAAAATTTTATTATAGTAAGTGATGGCATAAAGGTCAATTGTGAAGAGTCTGGTTTTTGACTTCCCAATGGCATTTTTTTCTGGATACACCTCCATATCCCCTTCTAGCCTCAGAGTGATTTAGGGATAATTGCTAGATTTTGCTAATTGCAAGCTATCTGACAGTCACCTGCTTTGCTTTCATGGTCACATATGAGCATTTTTTGGACTTCACATACAACACTGCTGTGTTTAGTTCAGAGTGAAAAGGGCCTGAGTCTACTGGCCTCTGGGCCTTTCTTCTTGGTACAGTGTAATAGAAGATATTCCAATTTACTCAGTAAATTGTGTCTGAAATTCCTTCTAACATTCAAACAGCCTAATAACAATTCCAAGTTTTATTTTATAGGAGGTTGTCTTTCAAGTAGGGAGCTTGATAGTGTAGCAACATACAAAATGACAAAACACAACTCATTAGAAAAACAAATTTCTGATAAAGTCAAAGAGAAGGTAGAACATCGTTGCAACTGGATACTTCCAGTGCAACCCTTCAGGGCCTGAGCTAAACTCTGATCCTATTTCATCCATTATTTGGGGTTTGTTTCTTTTGTCTATATTAGAACATCACCACACACACACAAAAAAAAGTACCTAAGATGGGTGATCCACCATCATTTGCTGGAGGTTCCCAGGTCATAATACACCAGTCTTCACCCACCTCAGTCACGTTTGGTGCCTGAGGAGGATCAGGGACATCTGTTGTAAACAAAGTAAATATTATTTTAAAAAATCTTCTTCTTACTGCATAGTTTGAATTAAAAATGTAAAATAAGAAACAAATATGAATAGTTTTTGATGTGCAACAGGAATTCCTAATGAAGAAAGAGAAAAAGAAAGTTTGTGAATCCTGTGTGGTGGTTGGGAATGGATAAGTGCCAAGTTCTTCTTCAGCACCGTCAAGACACTTGAGAGGCACTTGAGGACATGTGGTAAGACAGAGCCCACAGCCATAAGGAGAATAGAGAGCAAAGAATGATAAGGGCAGCCGTTTGGTCCCTGCAGCCTGAGGCGACAGCAGAGTGATAATTAACTCCTACTTAAATCCCTTGCCAAGCTCCTGTGTCCTTCAGTAACAGTGAGCCTTAGTACCCTTACATCTCAATTCCTCACCTGACAGTGGAGACAAAGAGGTAAATGGAAGTTTTCTGAGAATCTGTAACAGTTTGGTAGCTAGGGAGGACAGCATCTACAGAAGAGAACCTTCAGATAGGAGAAGGAGAATTTGTCTCCTGTTGGAGTGCATAAAAGTGTGGGTCTTCAAGGAGCATTTATTGACAATGGCTGTGATAAAAGACATGGCTCATATGCAGAGTTCCACATGACTTACCAACCACTTTGATGTTGATTAGAGCTGTGTCCTCTCCAGCTTCATTCTTTAAAGTTATTCTGAAAGGACCTGAATCTTCCCTCTCAGCTGTATCAATGACCAGGCAGCTGCTGTCTGGATATGTTTCTGCCCGTATTCTTCCACTGTCCGTGATCCCCTAGGAATCAAGGTAAACATGTTTTCTATACTTGGCAATAAAAGACAAAAATCAAAATTCAAAAGTAGTACAGTACAGTTCAGAAAAATTCTTAAAGCAATTGTAAGAAAAAACACAGTAAAATTCAGAATTTTAGTCACCTAATGATGACAAAAATGACAAAATAACTAAAATAAGTAAAAATAAGTACAGTGTGGTAACTGCTTAATACTCAGTTCAGCCATTGCACCATAAAGGATGAGGCACTAGGCTTGCTTGTCCTGTGAGCAAGAACACACTTTTTTAACACCATCTGACATTAATTTGATGGAAAAAGAATAATGGATTCTTCTAAAAGTCAAATAAAAATTTAATTAATTCACTTTAAAGGTCAGAGTGATTGTAATGGTCAGTAGTTTGTCCTCACATATTTCAAATGCTGTCACATATTTTGGAGTAGGAGCTCTCTTAGAATAATTCCCTATTTGGACACCACAATTAATTTTCAAATTAATATTTGAAAAATAGTTGTCACAGATTTGACCAGACAAGTCTGTTGAACGTAGTAGCAATAACATGTTCCAGCTTCCACATACCACAATGGAAATTTATATGTAAAAAGTGACTTTTTTTGTATTTACACAGCCAGGGATTGATCTGTGCAAAAGTTTTGCATTAAGACACCAAATGCAAGATGCCAATCACCCAGCGTATTGTTTCATTTGAGACTTGACACTCCATTAGAATTTTTCATTCATTTTCCAAAACCAGAACATATCATGGCTTCCTGTCGAAACCTGGCAGCCATTCCGGGCAGTATGTATAAAAGAAGTAGCCATTTGGTAGATTTTTTCTAGGTTTTTTTCTGCATCTCATGTATCCTTCTCCTTTTAATTTATAGAAACCCCTATTTTTTCATTGATTAATTTCAGCCTTTCCTTAAAAAGACTCAAAAATACTAAATAATATTTATCTATTTTATCCTTGACCAAAGAGAGTTTTTAGATAAAGGGCATCTTCCCCTTATTTTCTTCTGATAAAATCAATGTATTCATGAGGCTAAAGGTTATTTTTTGAAGAAAAAGGCTCCTTGTTGAGCTAAAGAAATGTGTATGATGACAATGTACCTTGTCACCTCTACTCCACACGACTTTTGGAGTTGGTTCACCAGTGATAGGGATCTCAAGTCGTAGTTTGCTTCCTGCCACTACTGTAACAGTGTTATTTTCCCCAAGACCATCCAGGTGAAGTTTAGGAGGATCTGAAAAAGGAGAGATTGTCCAAATGTGTCATTCAGCTGCTGCTCTGAGAGTTCAGTGACCTGACACAGGTCTGCAACATAAAGAAACATGCTCTATGTTTCACATTTTCCTGTTTTTTCTAGGCAACTGATTTTTTGTTTGGAAAAAAATTTGTGAAGAAAATCTATTTAAGAAAATAGTTATCTGATGAAAAAGAAATCATGGCACCATAGAGATTTGGGAATAGTAAGATCATATAGAAAAAAAAATATTTTCCTGCAGCAGAATTATGTATATTCAGGTAACTTCTGAGAAAGATTTTCTCTAAGTGAATTTCTAAGAGAATTTCCATTGCAGGCTTTTTGCCACATTTTTACCATGCTTCAGACTTCACTGTTCTTACAATTATAAAGTTTTCTTAACCTATATGCTTTCCTGAAAATGAAATTATCACTCTTATTGTACCCCATGGGTATGGAGAACAACTGATGAATATCCTCTTACAAATTTTTTTAACATATTGCAAATATAGCGGTGGGTGTTCCCCTCTAGTATCACTTCCCTTTTCATTCTCCCTAAATCTTAGCAATACTTTTTCTAACACAGAAATTGCACTTCTTTCAGCTTCAATTAAAGAACATGTTTTCTAAAACTTTGGTAATTTGTATCGCTCTTCTTTTGTCTTCCAAGTTGCTGGTTGCAGTTAGAAGCTGGTGAGGTATTTTTGTGGGAAGAGTCAATGCCTTGTTTTATTTTTGTTTGAAGGACTGGGATCATTAACGAGCCTTCTGTTTTACTGAATGAATGAAAGCTGGCTGGAAACTTTTTTCCATTTAGATAGCATGTAATGTATTCAGTGAATAGATAAATATGTGCTTATTCTACTAATCTTTTACCAAATTAAATCATATTTTGCAATGTTAGTGAGACAGTTCTTCAAAGACAAAACAATATATTTGAGAAGTAAATAGCAACAGATATTTTACACAAACTTTTAATAGTGGTTTAAGTTCAGTAATTCAACGTCAAGAAGCCTTCAGCTCTCCCCAGTGTGTAAACTATGAGCAGGTCCTGAGGACAGAAAAAGAACTCTCCAACCAGCTCACTTGTGCTTTGCCAAAGCAGCAGGTCTGTTTTCTCTGGTAGATGCCTCCTCAGAGGATACTAAGTGATTGTAATCAAGGATATTTCATGCTGCTTTTAATTCCCAAAGTTCAGAGAAAGAGAAGTTATATGTAAGTTCAATATACTTACCCACAATATGTACTTTGCATGGAATATTAATATCATAGGCATCTGGTACAAACATGTATTCACCCTCATCATCAACAGCAGAAACTGGTATAACAAATCTGTGTATTCTGTAAAAAAATCAAAAGAGAAATCAATGTAAATTATTTCTGAAGACTGCTTGAAGCTGTAAGGAAAAATCTCTGAAAAGTTTAGGAGATCTGTGCAAGTGTACCAAATTATCGACTAAAAATCCTTTTATGGTCACTTAGTGGTATTTTAGCTGATTAAATACTGTGTGACTTGTACAAAATGTTATTGTACAATATTGTACAACCACCAAATAATGTAACCAATTCTAATATTGTTTGTTTGAACAGAGAACTAGAAAAATATATGAGTGTAATACCTTTGACACACCAATTCTGTGCTGCTGCCATTAGATTGTAGTTTGGTCGTTCAAGAAGAAATCTGTAGGTGATCCCATTGTGGGAATAGTCTGACTTCTGTTGAACTATTTTTTGACAAATCTACTATTTGTTTGCCAGAATAAAAAATGAGTGAACAAATCATATGCTGCTCTTGCTGTCTAACTGTGTCTTCCAGCTGATGATATTTTTGGTCTCCTGTGACCTGCTGTGGCTTAGCTTTGTTCAAGGTAGGACTCCACTCTTTGTCCTCCCTGCTCCCCTTTCCTTCACCTCACACTATGGGCCTGCATGACTTGTGGGGAGCTCCTTCACCTAATGTAAATCCAAGAGGCCATTGCACAGCTGGCCCTTGACACTTACTGCTGCTTAGGGATTGTTAGGGAGTTGATGCAAACATTTCAAAGCCAGTTTAGGGGTGCCTTCACAAGAGCAGTTCCCAGCTGTATGAATGGTGAAGGGTGTGCAGTTAAAGGTAGGACCTGCTTTGGGGGTTTTGAGGGTTGTTTGTTGTTTGTGGTTTCTTACTTCACATGAAAAAGACAACTTATAAAAGCAAAGAAACTTGACATTTCCATAAACTTTGAATGGGCAGAGTTACATGGTCCGAGGAGCTATGAGAAAAAGAGTCATTTAAAAGCTATGTATTCTTAATAGTGTCTAACAATTATTTTACTTTACTACTTAAGATCCCATGATAACAGCAACAGCAATGTCAAGAAAAATTAATAGCTTGAACTTAGATGGATCAAGGACTTGATTATTTTCCTCCACGGCCAGAATATCCAAGATTAAAAGAAGAAAGGAGACACGGCTTTTAAGATGATAAAAATATATGTTTTGAGGGACATAGGTTAGCTTGATTAGCAAATAATTTTCAGTGAAGTAACCCATATATTGGCTCACCTCTACAGTGTCATTCCATCAAAAGCCAAATCAATACCTAACAGGCTTACCTTCCTTTGTGATAAAGCTTTACACGGTCACTAGCTTCAATCAGCTGTCCATTTTTGTACCATTTCCCTTCCACGTTCTCAGATATCTCACACTTCAGGTGGATTTCCTGTCCAAGCCTCACAGTCTGATCTTCTAGTGCAAGTGATATCTTCAGTGGTCTCACTTAGGAAAACAGAAGCAGAGATATTAATGGTGATAACAAACAGCAGCTCCTGATCCTGTCACAGAGCTTATGCTAACCAGCACAACAGACTTCAAAAGAGAAAAATACCTCCAATAATAAAGTTAAAATATTGATAATATGAACGTGTAAGCACCATAAATTAACTCTCTTCATGTAGTCTGATGTCTTAGAAAAAATGATCCAAGATACCCTGAATGGGGAAACTCTGTGGATGTTGCCAGTAGAAGAACTAAGCCCAGGAACATGATTTGCATGCTGTCCCCTCTCTGATGTTTGGGTGCTGGAGGAAGGGTGTTTCTATCCCCCAGACCCATAAGAAACTTTCAAGAAGTGAATGACCCAGGTCCCCAGATCTATGCACTAGAAGGAATTACAGCCCACCTTTCCTATGATCGAACTGCAATCAAGGCTGTGGCAAAGGCTGACTGGCCAGTAAGCTTAACTTCATGCACTACTTGTTCTCATGTTTGCTGAAGTGCCTTAACTCACCCTATGCATCCCCATAGATATTACTGGCTTTTGTAAAACTTGAGTTTGAGAGCTGGTACCCTAGTACACTTCCACTTTTTGGAAGATTAGATGCTGCAGAGCAGAGTCCAGGCTGAACATACAGTACAATCTGTATGCAATAAATATCCTTGGCTATAATCTGGCAACAAAACAAAGAGCCATGGGAAAGGCAGTGTTTTGTAGAAAGACAGTTGGAAATTCCTCAGAAGAAGTTGCAAGAAAGGAAAGGTGATGGAGCTCAGTAGCCATGGAGGATAATTTCCAACTTGATAATAAAATAGCATGAATTTGTTGGGATGCCAATTTCTACAAAATAGTCAAAAGCAGCATGAGTATTAAAAAAAAAAGTGTATATTTATGCATAATGCACGATAACTTTAGAGGACAGATAGATACATTTTGTTAAAAAACACAGATATTCTAAAGAGATATTGCACAAAGCTGAGGAGGCTACACAGTCATGTGTTTGTGCCTAGGTTTGGCTTTCCTGTGAAAACCTGAAAGGATTCATGAAAAGAAGATACTTTCCTTGCAAATTTCACTTTGTTGACCTATTGTATCTTTGGATGGATTGCTTTGTTTTCCACTTTAATGGGGTGATAGTAAGCAGAACTAGTTCATTGCCTGCTACTGCAAACAGTGTTTAAAGGGAAGTCACTGTTCTGGAAATTTGCAGCAAAGAAATTGGTGTGAAGGTTAAGTCTCTCTTTAAACCCCCAGGGAAAGGCAAGCAAATTATTTATTTCTGTATGCCAGCAAACTGTGATATATGAATTCAAGAGTAAGATGGATGATACTCACAGTCAACTGCGAGCTTGGCTTCTGATTGCCCTCCAGTTGTCATAACTGAGTAAGTTGCAGTGTCATTTTTTGCAGCTTCCTCTATGATCAAAGTGTGTTTTTTACCCTCAACCTTGATTCGATACCGAGATTTAGGATCATTGGTAAGTTCTACGCCATTCCTAAACCTATGGAAAAACAAAGAATAATTAATTTTCCAATAGCAGTCCTGTACAAATAAGACTTCCATAGACCGAAACTGCCAGAGAAGACTTTACAAGACTCTAAGGCACTAGAAAAGGGTAAACAAATGCATCCATGAATGTATAAGGATATTTTTACCATTGCTACATTTTTGAATAATGTTTTATTGAGATTTTCTTGACAATTTTCAGGTTTACTGGTATAGAAAAAGCTGCCCACATTTTTGCCCATAATTAAAATTTTCTGTGTTTTATTGTCAAGGAAAAAACTACGTGTGGCTTACCATTTCACATTAGCATCATCCTCAGATACTTCACAGCTCAGTTCTACTCGTTCACCAACATAGGTATTGGTATCCTCCAGGCCTTTGGTCACCAAAATTGGAGGATCTTTGGAAAGATTAAGTTACAGATTTATGATTTGAGAGAGAAAACTAAGTGAGAGAGGTTTCCTAAATCATGCGGTAGAAGGAGATACTACTTTAAAATTTTAATAAGGGTATCAAGGCAGCTCTTTCTGTCTTCAGTCAGAAAAGTGGTTGCTCATTAAGATGATAGTGGGAAATGTGCTAAATAAAAAAAACAATATTTGTTCATATTAATACCTGCCTTGCATCCCATTTTATTAACAGTTTGTCCAGGCAGCTTGACATGAGAAGCTGACATTCCCCTCTTGCCTCCCACAGATCCCTCTCATAAAACTGGGTTTTTATTAGGTCCTATAGCTCATTTTGCACAATAAGATGACCTGATAGAATATCATGGTGACCTTATTGGCTTAATCCATTCCTGATGTCATAACTCAAGTTTATTTAATAGTGAGAGACTGTACAAGAGTTATCCTATGCTGCTTATAGGTGCAATGGGCTCTATTATTTTAAAAAGATTTTTGAAATATTTTTTAATTTTCTTTTCTCTCACTGAATTTTTCTGTTTGTTTTGTTGTACACATGTGAGTAATCAGCACCATGGGAGCAAAGAGAGTGAAGATATGGCCACCCATTCATAATTTTTGATAGAGTCTTCCCTTAAATTAGTGCAGGCAGAATGAAAACTAACTGCTAGAAAGCCTGATCTGAGAGTACTTGAAACAGACTAGTTGGACTAATAGTATCAAAGTCCTCAAGTACCTAAGTGTGGTGTTAGGGAAATGTTATGACACAAGTCTCCAAAATGGCTTAAAACTCATAAGAACTCCACAAGCCCCACTAGATCCCAATGCACAGTATAAAATCAACCATATCCCTGTTTCAGGGTTTTCACTAAGTTGCTGAACACAAGATGAGGAAAAACAAAATGTCCAGGGATCACAGAAATACAGAATAATCCTAAGGGCTGCTAATACAAATACAAAAACATACTGAACCAGATTCTCCCTGTTAATTTCTGTTGCAGCCAAAGGAGCCACATCAATTTACGGCACGTGAAAGAGCATCAGGCTGACATAGTTACCTCTCACAAACAGTTCTGTGGAGCATTTCTCATCACCAGCTGTTACGTAATAGCGAGCATCGTCTGTCATCGAACAGTTGTTGATGAATAAAATTCGCTGGTTGCCTTTGTGTTCAAAAATGTATCTGTTTGAACGGGAATGCAGCAAAGATATGTTAGCAAAACTGCTGGGCCCCTTTTGTTCTATGTAGAAAGTCCTTTAGGGATTATTAGAGGCAAAAATTCTGGGGTTTGCACAGTACTGGAAAAATTGTCCTTGGAAGCAATTTCCAAGTTTTAACAGTGCTGTCATAGACTTCTAGCAAAAAGAGCTATGGTGTAGAGTGACAGTGAGCTCCTTCTGGCTTGTTCCAAAATTCCAAACTTGGGTGATATGAAAAAAACACAAATTAAAAAAATAAAAAGAGCAGGCACGGCATGATGGCAAATAAAATGGAGTCTGAAACTCTAGATGAGTAAAGCTGAAAATAACTAGTAAGAGGACACCATCACTCATTCCAACATTTTTGTGAAGTATAATAATAGCCAAAGTTAAGAAGTTAATATTGTTGGTAGGCCAGATGGCACAAGATATCAGTAATGGGATATGGGGTTTTGGTAATGGAGCCTTTCACCTTTATGTCACTGGTTTAGATCTGCTCCAGGTTTGTAATGACCAAAGCTCATTAGTGTCTGACAGCTGCTTCAGCAGCCTGGTAGAAATGCATTGGAGCACTCAACCCAGGCCCTTCTGCTGGAGAGGTACCCATAGAGCTGCCTGAAAAACAGTTCTGAACTGTTCATGGCAGATAAAGGGGCTAAGGAAACAGTACCCTCTTTATTATCCATTTTTTTTTGCCAATTATGAAGATTAATCAAAATCCTTCATTGACTTTTGCATCAAGAGAATGAAGGAAATCTGCCCTTTCTCTGAAAGAGGGCTGTTGTTATTTACTAATTTTTTTTTCACAGGGCCAGAGGAAAAAGTTACTAGGATTTTGTGCTGCTGAGAAATGTCTGAGGAGCATTACATTGTTATGCAGATCATCATTCTGAGCTGTGTCTGAGTGTGGAATGGGGTTTTCCGCACCAGTTGTAAGAGCTGGTTGCGCCCACAGGAGGGACTGTGCTCAACTTCCAACCATTGCTCTACAGGTACTCAAATGTCTGCACCTGAAAGACCACTTCTTCTAGGTAAGGTCAGAGAGTAAACCAATTGAGGTGATTACAGATGAAGAATCTTGGGTACATTAGACCTGTTGCACATGACTGATAGAGAACATTGGTGACTTTTTTGTGTTAAAGTTAACTGGATAGTAGAAGATGAGACAAACCTCACACCTCTTTTGCCAGGTGGTTTATGGGCAAGGTGGGTAAGTATGTGATGTCAAAAATCTCTCCTCTTAGCACACAATTATTGCAGAAAGATTATGTCCACCTTTGGACATAGGACTGAGGACCAGTGCTTTATGTACTCGCAATTCTTCCTGATTTTTAAAAAACTACTAAGTAGGAAATGGCACCATGGTTTGTTGAGGATCTCTTGAGACAAAGGAGTTGATCTGCACTACATTTAGCCTACAGTGGACTTTTCTGGGTCATGAACAATATAGCATCATTTGCACAGTCTTTGCATCTAATGAAATTCAGGAATAAAATTGGGTGCAAGCTGAGTGAAGAGAGAGATTAAGCAACACTCTTGTCAAGGAAGTACACGTATATCCATTTTATTGCTTACATATGATAAAATCACTTACTTTGCGCTTGGTCGTATTTCTTGGCCATTTTTATACCACTTGAGTTCCACTGTTGGGTCTGCAAGCTCCACCATGAATCTTACTTTACCTCCCTTGTCCACCTGATATGCAGGATCGAGACCTTTGGCAAAAGCTGTTATGGAAGTCAAGTGTTATTATAAAATGAGATCAGAAAAATAAGAATGAATGCTGAAATGACATTGCATAAATCTCATCAAAGCTGTGAGAATACATGCACACAATGTTATGCATCACTCTATATTCTTACACTAGTCTGCATAGAATCAGATTATTTTCTAGAAACACTAGAATAAGTACAAAGCTATGCAGATCTGATTATTCTGACCAAGTTCAGGCTAGTAGCTCTTCATGACTTTGCAGTGTGACTGTATTCTGAATATGATGGGGTAGATGTAGCTTTAACAGCTTGTTGTAGGCCAAGTTGTTGTGGCCAAGGTAAGGCCATATGCAACTCAAATATTTCAAAACACTTTAGAATCAACATTTTGACATTGCCAGACACAAAAGTCAGGCCCAGAGAGCAGACATCTGTGAGCCCAAAATAAATAACTAAATGGTACTACAAACAAATTGCCCACAGCTAAGTAACCAGTTTCTGCTAAGGTTTATATCATGCATATGTTTGATTACAGGAGACAGAATGTATCAAACACAACAGGAGTAGAGTTATTAAATATGAAAAGGATTTTTTATGTATCTTGTTGCAGTATAAAAGTTTCCAATTTATAATAAAGGTGGCATGAGGGAAAAAATGCCCTGCTTTCCTCCTGTCACTACTATAGGCATTTTCCCCCAATATTTGGAGCCCCTCCTGTAGGGAAAACCCTGTCCACTGAAAAAAATCCTGGTTTAGCTGGCAGCTCCATCCTACTCAAAAGGGAATGGGGGAGAGGGGCCAGACAGACTGGTCACAGGTGCTGAGAGATGCCTCTTTCCCAGGAAAACATCCAGGCATTTCTATGTGATGCACCTGGGTAGGGAGAAGCTCTTCCTCCCAGCAACACAATTCCTGTTCCAGCCTCCAGACCCACCAGACCCTCCCCTCTGCTCCAGACTCCTGGGGGAAGATGAGGTGTTTCCTTGGGCTTCAGTTGCATAGAGAGCTTTATTGGATACAAAAACTGCCCCAGTGGCTCAGCCAAAGCCCACTGACTCCATTCCTCTCTCCCTCAATGGGGCCTGAATAAAATATACCAGCAAATGAAAAATAAAAATAAAAACTGATGTGTAGTAGCATAATACATGTAATGGATGTAATGTGAGGTAATGGATAAGAAGAGAGTGTATATCAGGAAGCTGAATTACAGCTGGATTTGTGGAGGACTTCACCTACTCACAAGGGACTCCTCCAGGAATCCAGTGAAACAGCAAATGTTGCATCCAGTTCTGAAATGCTGTCCAGGAACAAGCAGAAGCCACAACAATATAATGGACAGTGTGTAGTATTTATATGTATGTGTAGATGTATTATGTGACATATACATATATTTTATACACACACATATATATACATACATAGAAACACATATTTATATTTCTGTATATAATTACACCACTCATACTATTCAATAGGGTAGATGGAGAAAGACAGGCCTGAATATCCCCACCCAGTGCAGAGTGCAGGGGTTTTAGTACAGCTGGGATTTCCAAGGAATGTAGATTAAGTGCAAAATGAAACTATGAAGAGCAAACAATGTTTGCAGTGGCCTCTATTTGGAGCAGAAGATATTGATGATGGCACAAGGTCTAATTTCCATATTGTTTGATCAGATGACACCTTTCCACACAACTGAGGGACATTGCTCCAGATGGAACTAATGTTTGTCTGAGAGGGAAGGGTGCTTTTGGTAAGCAGTGAATGTGACAAGGTGCTTATACTATCCACAGTGGAACAAAGCTACTGATTAACTCCCTGCAGTAATGAGGCTTGAGTTGTAGTGTGCAAGTTCCCTTGTGTGGAAATGAAGCATATTTGGGTTTTTAAGGTAGATGGTCATGTTTGACTAACAAACATAAGAATATTCTCCCATATCCATACCTGCGCTCTTCTTCACCTCCCTGCGCATCCGCTTGAGGCGCTTTAACATTCCTCTCAGGTCAGTGATACCGTACTGGAAAGCAATCTTCTCATATTCGCTGGGATTCGCGTTCTTCAGGAGATCCCACACGTCTACCTCAGGTTCTTCCTCTTGTTGTTTAACCTCCCTAACATGAGCAAAATAAAATTACGGGTGAAGAGTTAGTGGTTATCACACCATAAAAATAGGTGAAGCTGAGTTTATGGTGAGGCTAGAAATGTTTTGACTAAAATTTGAAGGCTGCCATCTTATTTTTTTATTTCACTCAGAACGAGTAGAATAGCTCAGAATGACGTTCACACCTGACTTTACACTTCTTCAAGTGAGAATTTAGATATAAGTTTTAATTTGGCCTTTTCTGATACAATCAGTTACAAGGATTTTTATATTGCTTCGTTGCTTCAAAAATATATATAGTTTGAAAAATGTAGTACTATAATAGCATACAGGCAAATCCCACTTAAATCAGTTTTATCTTCTGTAACTTGAGTAACTTGAGTTACAATTTATGATGGCGCCTCTGAGAGCTGAGTCTAATCTGTACATGTCATAATTATGTAAAAATGCTTTCAACCCTGAGTCCCTGTAACTGCTACTTTGAGTTACCAATGAAAGGACATTGGAATACAGGGGAATCTGTGTCTGTTTATAGTTATACCAGTGCTTCTCAGCATTACTTGAAGTTGTCATATGAATAGGAAATGGACATTTCCACACCAGCTTGGACTTGAAGGATGGATCTGCATCTCAGTCTTAAGAGCAGGAAAAGTTTTCAGAGGCCTGTGTGAGGCATCACCTTTAGAAGTTTCAATACTGTGTTTACTATCTGCAACTCCAGGCTAAGATAACCAATAAAGAGAAGTACGATTATTTTCACAATGGCAACCATTAAATGAGAGAACAGTGATGATAATTTTTAAGACTTAAAGTTTAGCTCAAAAAAGTTAACTGCTAGAACAATCCAGGAATTAGAGCAGAAATCTGTATTTTTCTTCCTGTAAATTCACTAGGATCAGACCAGTATCATTCTGATTTGATCTAGCTGGTCTAACAAAATCAGTACTTTTGAGAACAGAGTGAGAAAATAAACTTTTGAGAAATAAAAAAAGACTGAGCTTTGCTGTGAGACACTGTTAGAGTTGAGCTTTATTGAGTCTGACAGAGGATTTTCTTTGACATATACAGGAATAGCACTAGGGATCCCTGAGAATCCCTGTGTTGGATGAGGAACTATGGAAAACCACTTTGCTGTTTAGTCCATGAGGTTTTTTAATTTTCGTAATACGTCAGAGTTATTTTAAAAAGGAAGAAAGCTTCTCCCCGAGCAGTCTTTGAAATATTTTCATTGCTATCTTAGAATTATGGTTACACAACCTCAGGTATATAATTTTATATTTTGTTCCTGTCACTTTTATCTGCTTTTATCTCATGCTTTCTGGAGGGTGACTATGTACAGTGAACACTAGCATTTCAGTGAGATTCCTTCTGCATGGCAGCAAGTTGAGATCAGCTTGCAAACATATATAAAAGCTGACACACCCCATGGGGTGCATTCTCCTCTCCCAGGGCTGGCCACAAGCCATGCAGTGCCTGTCCGTGCTAAGGAGAGGTGATCTCTGTGGGAATCGAGATAATGTACCCCTTTGAATCAGGCAGTGGTTGAGAATGAGGATCAGTTAGAGAATCCTGATTTTCAACCAGCTTGAAACGATGATTCTAGACTCATTTTCCTCTTGCGTTACTGGAGAACAAATTTTGACACTTTTTTCTTAGACTTCAGTAATTTCTGAGGGTAGGGGGAAAACAGTGCTTGGTATTTTCTAAGCAGACTGACCTCACAAGATCACTTTCAGATCTTTATCCTAAAAATGTGCATTTTGTTGAAAGATGTCCTTTTTTTTAAAAAAAAAAAGGGGGGGACCCAAATGTTTGAGCGTTTTTGAGATCTTGTGCCTTTTGGAATGTTGTGCCATTACTGATGCATTGCACTGATTAAGCATAACCAGTCATGGAGTGGCTTACTGAGATAAGAACTGGGTTTTCTGCCTGCCAACCAGCATGAAATTAGAAAATAGTATATCAATTCTATGCATTTAATTTTTTAAAAAAAAAAAAACATGTTTCAAGTAGTATGCACCAAAGGTGAAAAGTTCTAGGTCCTTCCTTGGTTATATAACCCAGGGATGCACCTTGGTACAAAAGAGAAGGAATGCACCTCCAACATTGCCTGTTGAAAAAATTGGAATGAAAACATCTATTTGTCTTCATAATAGTGGATGTTAATATCCACACAGGGATATTAATATCCACAATGTGGCTTAATTAACAATTTCATTCAATTAAGCTCAGAAATGTGAGGTTGCATTTCAGTGCCTGAAACAAGGAGGTGATGAACCAATTTGACTGATGTCAAATAATGGTGCTTAAAAACTAAACATTTGCTTTATCCATTAACCACACAATAAGTATACTATGTTTATATGGCTATACAGTATTTATCTTACAAAACATATGAGTTACTTGTTAGTGAAGTGATAATGCCTCTTAAATCTCATTTCTCTTTCCACAAAAACACCAAGACCTCTTACATGCAACTCTCATGTCGCTAATAAATTACCCCACAGGCAGCCATGAGAACTGGCATGGTAAGTTGTATTAGTATGTAAAAAGTCAAACTGAAGATCCTAGTTAGGGATGAGAAGATTAAAAAACCAAAGACCTGGTGGACTGGAACTGGCTCAGGTAATTCTTTCCCTTCAGCTTTTCCTGTTTGCTTTAGTTGCTTAAATGCTATCCTCACCCTCAAAGCCAATGAGCCTGCTGTGAACTTCTAATGTAATTAATACTGCATATTGGGTTTTCCTCTTTCAGAGGTAGATGACATAAAGGATTTAGTTGCTTTTCCAGTTCTCTGTGGTTAGTTGTCATTGATTTCCATGACATATCGGATTTCTGCGATAAATTTTGAAAAATTACGAACTATTTTGTCTTAACCTGGTAAAACTCTAAAGTGGGTTTAAGATCTGAAATAGCTAGAGATACAACTATCATAACACTAGATTTTCGAAGCAAACCAGAGAAACAAGAGCCCAGTTTTTTCTCCATCAAAGCATTTAAGTTGAATAAAACATGATTGAGCATTTGTGTGCACATATTGAAACTAAAAGCTACAAAGAATTAATACCAATGCTTATGGCTTGGAAACATGATATATGATTTTTAATATCAGGATACTTATAAAATCAAATTAAGATGTACCCAAAGAGGTAAATTTAACCGTTGCAGTTTTTTATTTTTGCACCAGACTCAATTTTCTGAACTGCTCATCCCTGTGTAGGAAATTTCCCCCCGCTCCACCTTCCATGCAAACACAAAAGAAATAGCAAGTGAATTAAATGTTATTTGCCTCTTTAGGTTGGGGCTCACTTTTTTTCCCAGTGCACTTAAATCTGAGGTTTCTTTTCTGCACACTTAAAGGTAAAATTAACTGAATATTTGCATATTACAATATGAAAATAATAGTTAGAAACATTAAAAAAATGAAAGGTCAGAAAATTCTTAAGAAGTTATTAATGCTACACCTGACTCTTTCTGTGTGTGAACCTAATGGTTTGCAATCCACACCTGCTCACTGCATCACTTGGTTCTCACCTACGTTTCAGGAGACCACTAAAGTCAAGTTCTCCTGCATCCTCTTGTCCTTCACCGCTGTTATTAATAGAAAAAAGATCAAATCTTTGTTTAATACAGGAAGACTTAGACAACACACATTGGAAATGATCTACAGATCTCATATACTCAACACTGTCCGGACACACAAATAATTGTGTAAAATCAACACAAACATGTATCCTTTTTCACATCAATTCTGTTTCCATAGGCGCTTGTGAAAAATAACACAGAGGTTTGTATTGTTTCTTATTATATTTTGATGGCAAATTTTTGTAACTGAATACATAAATTTGCCAAGGTTTGTGTTAGATTTCAGTAACACAAACAAATGTGAGCTAGTCAACACAACCAGCTTTGTTTTTCATTTCTGTAGTGAATGTGTATAAAAACAAAGGGCTTGTGCTGATCTTTTGCTATGAATAGAAAACAAAGATTTGCATTGTTTGGTGGTGCTTTTAACAATGCATAGCTGTGTCAAATACTGATTGAAGAGCATTACTCTTTACGGCATTATATTTAGATTTAACCTTTCTCTAAATGAAGGGAGGAATCAGTGACAAAAAAGAAGAAACAGTCCGTTGTACATTTTTACAGATAGAATCACAGTTCTATGAAGGTGCATTTCTTTCTAAAATGTGACCTTAAGCAGGATTGCCTTATCATAGAGCAAATATAGACAAAAGAAATGCCCTTAATATTTGTAAAAGGGCAAAATACTGCAAATCTTAACTGAAATGATGCCAATATCTCATCCAAATTTTGCATGCAAGATATTAGAAAATCAGAAAATACTCAGATACCTTCATCTGCTTGGGCAGAGTAGTTATTGCATGGTTTTTTAAATGTGCTGAAGAAAGGAGTGCACCTTGAGTGTAATGTCTTTTGCATTTTCTCTTTAAATTAAACCCCTCTAAATAAAAGTAGGACTTTGGAATCACTGCTTTACTTGTAAATTAACAAACTGCATTCATTTTCTGTTTGTAAAACATTTTCATTCTGAATATTTCTGTATATTTCTTTATATTTCTTTACGTATTTCAGCATATAAAGATGACATCTATACTGGTTAGAGTTACTATTTTATCAGAAAGGTAACAAAACTTAAGACACAATGCTTTGTCTTACATTCTCTGTAATATAATACATTATATTATAGATTTTATATAGAGAGATGTAATATATTAATGATGACCTTTACTGTTTATTGTAAGATAACATAAAACCAGATCCTGTCTTCTTGAAATCAATGTGAATTTTTTCTCTGCTTTTAATCAGCACAGGACTGGGTCCAGGATCTTTCATATTGTAGCTGACAGTTTCCAGGAAACATGCAGTAGAATATTTTAGGGAATGAAAGCATATTTTTTAAAACTGCTAAAGAAACATATATTTAATTGCCTTAAATATGCATTCTTTCCTTAAAGCAATGACACTGTAATTTCACAGTAAAATATTTAATATCAGATGTACTATCTATGTGCTGTGACTATTTCATTCTACACACTATCAACTACCTTAAATCCCACTTCTTTAATCTGTGTTTACAAAGCAAGTTTTTTAAAGTACTTGATACAATTGTCTGATGCAAGTTCTGTCTATGCTACCAGTATCCATTACTGAGGAGCTTCACGGCATCACTGTTTGAAGTTACCTTCTTTTGAAAGCAGATCTGATGTCAATGGATTGAGCAGCTTGGGAAGATTCTATGAAATAATGGTAATTCAAGAATTAAAAACACAATTTAAAATTAATGAAATTTATATAATCAGTGTCATTAGGAATATGAAATTTTTTCAGTTTCCTGCTAAGTGACCAGAGTTTGTGCTTCCCCTTTAAGTTCTCACTAAGATACTAAGTTCTGATGAAGGCAGAGATGCTCAGTGCTAAGCTAAGTGTAATTAATGTATTTCTCTAAACTACTTTCTGCAGTTCTGCATAGGAGACGTTTCTCTGATGTTTCTCTCCATTCCTCTTCCTACCTTATACACAGACTCTGATCTTTTCATCCTCCCATTTCTTATGCTTTCTCTCCTCCCTGCATCTTGTGCTTTCTCTGTACACTCAGCATCAGAGGAAAGAGAGTTTCTTCTACAGCTACAGACTCACATTATTTCTCAGTTCAAGGAGGAAGCCCCCTTGTGGCAGTTACCCATTTGTGCCAACCTGAATCAGATTAAATGTTCTGATCCACAGCCAGTGAATGGCTGCAGCCAGGCTGCCCCTGCCTTGCTGACCTCTGAGTACATATAGGCATGTACTACACCCCTTGGGCTGTCTAGCAGATATCAAATGTCTTGTGTGCCAGAGCCTGATTTGAACTCTGTATTAGTTTTACCTGCCAGCTTTTCTAATTTTTGGATAAATGTCTCACATGTTACAATGTCCAATCCCAATGTTAATTTAAACAATAAATTACAGACATTTAAGAAAATTCTCTGAGCTCTATGCTAAAAATGTTCACTTTAGCATTACTCCATTTAAAGGTTCTGAACAAAATGAAGTTGCACTTCAAATAAAAAAAAAAAAGAAAGAGATCTTTATAAAACTTTACAGACACAAGTGGAACCTTACCAGTGACTTCAAGGTCAAAAGAGCAGCTATCAAACTTGTCCTTGTAAGATACTTCACAGCGATAGTTCCCTGCATAGTTTTCTTTAGCTTTGATGATATGCATCTCAAATGTGTGAATCTAAAAATCAAACATAATTGTTCATTAATGTGGGGGATACATTTGCACAAAGCAAAAGTTAAAACATTAGTCTTTCAGTTCTAAACCAGAAGCAAGGAATAAATCAAATAATGGATTCTGAAAAGAATCCGGAACCCAGAAATGGCAACTTTTTTTCCCCACCACTACTTGTCCTGCACTGTTAGAGCAGAAAAGTCTGCTTCTGTGCAGGGTCAGAGATCATCACTGAAATCTGTGTGGGGAAGCTAGGGTTCGAATCCACTGCTCTTGAACTTCTACCTGTTGTCTTAAACCAACCTTTAAGCTCTCTTTGGAGCTTCACCCCCATAAGAAGGAAAAGCAAAGACACACCTTAGTGTGACGCTCAAAGGACTCTTTCAGCTGCAGGTGCTTCCCCGCTTTACTGGCCAGGTCCATCCATTTTCCTTTAAACCACTTAACATTTGGCTTTCGGAGAAGATCTTTGGCTTCCACTTTGGCTATAAATGTAATATTCCCACCTTTTAAAAAGAAGAAAGAATAATGCAGCTGTTGAGGAACATGTTAGTTACAGTCAGTTACATCTGTACAAGTTTCTTTCACTCCTGCTCCATTCAGTCTCCCTGTGCTCTACCACAACATTACAAGTCAGCTGGAGTCACACAGACTATGAAAGTACTACAGCGATAGACATTAATTCCAGATTTTGGGTCTGGAAGCTTTCTGTGCATGTCAATGTGGAGCTTGGGACACTGAGAAGCAGAATAAATCTGAGGCAAAGCTCCATGTTCTCATGGGTGAATTGTTCCTAGTATTTGAATTTCCTTGCTCAAGAGAAGCACAGGTTCTTTTGAACCACAGGCTACCACGCAGCTGTAACATAGATAAACTCCAGTTTGGAAAAGAAAGCCTGGAGCAGTTCATGCATTTTTATCATCGATTATTTAAGCTGAGAAGATAGAGGAAAGAGTTTTCTCTAAATAGCAAATTGGGAATAGTAAATGTTATCTCAATTTTCAAAAGACCACTGCACAGTCCCTGATGAATTTCCATCCTAACATTCATCTATAAGAGAATACAACCAATTCCTTATATTTATTTTTTAAATAAATCCTCCTCAAATCCCCTTTTCTGCACAGAAACCGAGAAAAATAAAAAAAAATAAAAAAAAATCCCATAAAAAAAAAAAATCCCAACATCTGCCCACATCTTTGTACACCCAGTGAAATAACAGGCATATTAAGTAACCTGCACTGAACTTCTCATCATTACTACTAGGAGTGGCTACCTTACCATGGCAGCATGGCTCAGGAGTGCAGTTTGGAAGTGAACCTCCTAACTATCCTCATTTACTGTATTGTGGTTCACAACACAGAAAGTCCTCACAGTGCTTGAACTCTGAACCAAAGCCAGTCCAGAGCAAATCCCCCAGCATGGTTACAGTGGACAGTGCTCCAATTAGGCTAGTTGCTAATTTATGCAGAGCTGTAGGGTACAGAAGATGACCTGTCAATCTCTAAGGTATACTGCAGATCTTTGGGAATATCTTCCTGATATATCAGTAAGAGTACAGCCAACAGTGTCACAGTAACCAGCCCTCTTATCCAGAAACTATACCTCTTACCATTGTGCTCAGTAAACTAATAGATTTTGAGCTTGTCTTGAATTAAACGATTGGGGTTTGCTTCTCTCTGTGCAGTTCTTTTTTCCTTCAGAGTGGAGTTCACATCCAGCTAAAACCAGTGACAATACTTGCAGCTGAGGGCAGAAGCTGAGTGTCACAGGAATGGCACCTACCATTCCCAGCTCTGCCTGTCTCTCTGGGAGTGGTTTTTGATTTTGTTTCTAAGCACTTACCGACACTCACTGTACCGCTCTGAGGTTTTTCGACGAATAAAGTAGATCTTTGGGAGTCATCTCGTTTTTCTGACTCTTCTGGAGCTCCTTCTCCAAGAGACCATACTGAGATGCAGAGAAAGGGGGAAATATTAATCATCTGAGTGTGTTTTACTCCCTTCAAAGTACACTTACCTGAACTTACTAAACTCTCTAGCCCTATCACCTCTCTCTTCAGATGTCCTGAAAGATATGTAAGTTTTTGTTCACACTGACATCCATTGCTTGGCTGTCACATTGTGTACAGCTCCTGCAAGAACGCTACCTCTGTGGTGAGAGAAAATGAAACTATCAGGGAGGAAGAGAGGGGAACCTGATCAGCCAAGATGGGTACTGAGCAACTTGAGCATTCAACCATGAGTGCTTTACAGAGGCGATGCACAAAGGTCAGCTCTTTGTTTTTCAGAAGAGATGGAGGTTCTGAAAACACAAACAGCTACAAGCACAAAAAAACCACATACGACGCATTGTTTCAGTGGGTTTCTCTCAAACTAAGTCAGTTGTACAAGCTGGTCCTTCCTCTTTGTCTGCAGAATAGGGCAGGTATGAAGTTTACTTCTGAACTTTGTTCTCTCCTACTGATGTTTTTAAGCAGAATCCTTTGTATTTTAAGTAGAATTCTCTGTATTTTTAATCTCTGAGTCTCTAAGCAGATTTCGCTGTCCCTGTCCCTTCCTTTGATCTCTGTTGCAGACGGAACCCGATGGTATCATTCTCACCTTTAACCCGTCGTTTGAATGTAAGAAGGTGCTACCAGGCATGTTAAGCAGATGTTGTTCAATGTTTATGAGAAGTTTTTGTATTTTACTACCTGCTTGGCAATTGTCTGAGAAGATCACATCTTTGGCACTCAACCTGGGGTTCTGTGTGTCCTGAACTGAACGTTGCTCAAAACTGAGTAGGGGGCACCTCCCCAAATAACCACCAGAGACCCCTGGAGAGTCCCATGCAGGCACAGTGACACATGAGGTTGTGCAAGCTAATCAATTATGCAAAAGGTAGGCGGTAACTACGTAGTAGATAGGCAGGTTTATGTAGACTTCAATGTATAAATTCTCTTGCTTTTTACTCCTTGGTGTGTTCCATTTGTCGACTTGCAGTCCAAATGCCACATCTCCTTTTTGTGAGGAGTTACCCCCAGTGCACAGGGGAAACTGAGTGCTGCAATGGTGCTACTGAAGAGCAGGGCAAATGAGGAAAGGCAGAGCTGTACTTAATAAAGGCCATCTGTCTCTTTCAAAACAGAGCTACCTCTCCCTTGTTTCCCTCAAACTTCTAATTGTTTCAAAAGTGAAGTTAGCTTTTTGTAGTTTATATAATGCTCTTTTAGTTTTGGTTTCATAAGTACCATAAGTGAGGAACCAGTCATACAACACTTCCCACTTAGTCAAACCCTGGTCTTGAAATTAAAAGTTCCTTTCCCTGCTCAGTATTTTTTGTAGAAACTCATTTGCCAGAAGTCAGGATTGTCTTTCTATTATGTAGAGATTATTGCTGTGGGAACCTTTTTAACTCATGAAAATTTCCATCACTCACAAATGCAACACAACTCATGACAACCACGAGAAAATGCAACCAAACTGTTTTTATTATCCTAAAGTCTATTAGGAGTGTTAAAGGTATAGAAATTCTAGATAGCTTTGGTATAAAATTTTTGTCCTTCAGTCTTTCAGTCAATTTTAGGTAGTGTGTCTATATGTCTGCTTGTACAATATTTCTCACAGGTAAAGACATTCATGTATATACACATGTATATGCACATATATGAAAACACACATACACATGTATGAAATCACATACACAGACATACATGAACACAAATATATATATAGATACATATCTATATATACTCTCTTTATGGTATAAATGTTTAGATTATGCCAGTATTACATGGTAGTATATGGAAACAACATAAGAGCAAGTGAAGGTTACTGATGGGAACAGAATGAAGTGATGATGCTCAGTACAGGACCTGGTCACGTGCAGTAACAAACCTAACATACCACTGGGTGAAATGGAAAAAGGATATTAATAAATGGAAAAAGAATATTAATAAATGGAAAAAGAATATTAATAAATGGAAAAAGAATATTAATGAATGGGAAAAGCATACATAGAATCATTAATTTGGTACCACATAAAAACACCTAAATATTATCATCACCTTTAGATAGTAACATTTTCCTAATTATTAAACAAACAGAACAGAAGGCGGGTTTGACGCTGGTTGAAGGGGCTGGCATAGGTGGCTATGCCAAGTCTATAACCATGGTTGAAGTACCTGCTGCTCAATTTGTTCCAGAGGCTGCAAATCCTGAAACCACAAAAGTGGGTGTAGTATGCATTACCTGCCAGGGTAGGAAGAAAGAGGTTATGATTTTGCTAAGTTTTCTCCACTGTCCTTTGAGGTGTGAGCAGAAACCATTCTCTTACAGTCTCCTAGGACCTGTGTTTGGGATTCAGGTAAACCACTGTCACCCTGTAGGCTGAGGAGGAATGAAACAGCTATGTATCTATCTATACAGAAATAGATATAGATAGATAGGTATGTATGTATGTGTGAAATACTGGTACATGTCCTGTCCTGTGCAGAAGGGCCTTCTCTCATTCCTGGTTTAGATGCCAGAAACCTGCTTGCTCTGCTACTTAGAGACATTTGAACAGTTATAGTTTAATACTATCTAAGCAATGAAAATAAAATAAAGTATTATCTTTAAGAAATTCATAATAAGTAATATTTTTATCATGTAATTTTGGAGTCTTTCATCATGTTTTTCAGGAAGTCTCACCTGAATCTTTTCTTTCCGCTGGCTTAGACATCCCATCTGAAAGGGAAGAGCAATTTAGATGATACCAGCTCAGAGATTATAGCTTAAGTGACCTCAGATCATTATGATTTCAAGAACATTGATTCTTCATGAAAGTTAGACTAAACATTTAGGACTATATCCATGAGAAACTACTTGAATACCAGAAAAAAATGAACTACTGAGAAAAAAACCCAGAAATCTTCCCCCTTTTTCTGTAGGAAATCTAAACTAGTATAATTCCCATTCAAGATTTCCTTTTTAGTAGTTTGTATTTAGAAGGGTTACATGAGGCTGATGTTTTTTCCATGATTTGTGTAGTTCCGGGTAACAGATGAATTTATGTTCTTCGATATTTATCTGGGGGGCAGTACTTTGAATTATTTAAATAGTCTATTTATTTATCTGGAATTGCTTTCAGGTCTACTAACCAATATTTTACCTTCCACTGGCAGAAGTTCTACCAAAAACCTCAAGACAGGACTGGAAAGGGACTTATCTAGTATTAAAGTCTTGTACCTCTGAAGAGAGATTAATATAATGTAGGCCACTCTAAAAACCCTTTTCTCTAAGTAGTATGGTTTGAGTTCAGTCCAATGGTTTGGACTCGTTCTTCATTAATAGTCAAGAGAAAAATACATACATACATACACACTCAAAGCACTATCACAGTCCTAACCTGCTGGTGGAGTACTAACTGAAGTGTCATCTTCATCTGTGAAAAGAAATACAAATAAGAAGGTACGTAAAGAAACTGAAAGCACAGATGATCATCTGCTTTAAAACAACTACGTGAAAATGTAAAACCTGCAAAAGAAAGGGAAAGAAATCACAATATTCATAGACACTCACAATGGAAGCTTCAAACTGATGAGAAAAGCTTTGCATAATTCAGTAGCTGAAATGGTAAACCTTAATGTTTCAAGCAAGTAGAAGAAAAATGAGACGTGGACTGTGATCTGTTATTAAGTCATGAGTTTATATGAAAGCTGCAGAGTGATTCTGTTTGTTAGAGATGTAATCCACAGTAAATACAAAAGAAAAAGCCACAATGAAATGAAGGTCAATCACATATCTAACCTGAGGAAGATGCCATTTCTCTGGTGACTGTGTCTGCAATTAAAACGCGCACCATACATGCATTTAGCATTATTAAATCAAGATATACAAACGTTAAAAATAGTCCCCTGTATTTTAACTTTGTAATTTCTGTATGAGAATATAATTTTAAAATGCAAGGAATAAAGAACTCATTTTTTTCCACATTATAGGAGAATAATTTAGAATAAGGAAAGAACTATTGTCATCATGCTGGACTTTCCTTTTACTCACACTAGAAGTTGACCATAATCAGGTATTAAATCACTACAAGTAATTGGTAACCAGATATCTTAAAATTTTTAATCACAGAGAGTACATATTTACAGAAATCAAAAGCCTGGAAAAACATGAAACTGTCATTAAACTGAAATACTGTAATCATGATTATTAGAAAACTAGAATAAGGTAAAGACTATCTTTACAGGAGTCACCTACATATCTTTGAATTTTAGACGTTGACTAGAAAACTCAGTTTCTGATAAAAATAAGCAAAAAGTCTTAGCGTCTTAAAAGCCTAATGGTAAAAGAAAAGAAAATTACCAATGTATCCTTTGAAAGGCAAGAATAAACTAGATATATTTAGTATTTAATACATCTATAAGATAAAGATAAAATGTTTTTAATACAGTATCAGAAAATAATCTGAAGAATACTTCAACATGGATAAGAGAGTTGAAAAGGAACAACCTCATATTTAAAGGTACTTTTTTGGGGGTCATTTTTTTTAGATTTTTGATTTAGATTTCCATAATCAAAATTTAAATTTAAATCTGAAGTTATCCTTTGATTTTGACCTTAAAGTTATAATTTGTCTATATTTTCTCATGGACAAATATAGCAACTATGACAAAAGCAGAGATAAAGTATAGTTGCATTTTTATAAACACTGGTGATATTGATTTTTTGGGGTTGTTTAACCACTGAAGGTTAATTGAAAGTCTGTTAATAGAATTTAAGTACTTAGCCATAACATTTTACCCATTCCTTTTTTAATGATTCATCAAACTTCATTTTAGAAATCTCTTGGGAGGAGAATGAGAGTTGTAAAAGGTATGCCTGCACATTAGGATTAATGTGTTATCTTACAAAAATCTCTTCTTATTCTTAGCAAAAAAATCCCACATTCTTTTAATGGAAGAGTTCTCATGACCTGCATCATCCAATGCCATAAGCAGATGTTGAAGATGTTGATTTTCAGTGAAAGCACAATAATGACAAAGTCTTGTCAGAGGTTTTAATATACTGTGCTAGCAACTAAATGAATGCAAGGATTAGTAATTCCACTGTAAATCTTTCTCCATATATCATGAGAGCATAAAGTGTACTTTAGTCTCTTTTTGTCAATAATGTCACCATTTTGATTGATGATGGCTGGAAGAGCCATCTGGTTGGAAAAAAATAACTAAGAGCAGCATAAAACATTTGGTGTGATGCATCCCACGTGATGATGTATGATAATCATGTTATGAAAGGACCACTCTGATTTTTATTTTATTTAATCATTTAAATAAAAATAATTTAGAGCTAAAAACCAAAAAGGATATTATTAGTTTTGCAGAGGGATTGCTGGGGTTTCTCCATGGTTACCTACCATTCTTCAAACAAAATGTTAACACTGAAGACAAACAAACTAACCCAAACAAACCTTTCAGAAGCATCAAAATGAAAGCACAATTGAATGTGTTAGAAATGGAAAGAGTATAAAAACAATAGGATTGTTTTGACAAATGGGTAATTAACAATCCATCAATCCTTATATCTCAGGCTTCTAGGACAAAATGGACCAACTACTGGTTAAGCAGCTATCACCGATTTGCTTTATGTGACAAACGATTGTTTATGTTGGCAATAAAAAAGATAAAAAATTACCAAAAATATCAGACCTCTCAGTAGAACTATGATCATTAATTCACTATTCTTATCTTCTGCAAGTAAACTTTTAATGGAGTATATTTAGTAACATGTTGTATGCCAAGAGTCATCCATAATAGGTTGATAAATGTATTACTCTACAGAGATCTTTATTCTTTGTCTATGGTACAATTTCATTGACAAATAGGGTATTTATGGTTTTTGCCTTGTATCTAAATGATAACATTAACTGAGGACCAGGCTGAGCTTCATTAGGAGTAGAGTCTGGTTGGACAAAAGAACTCTCCATATCTCAGAAGTACCTAATACAAAAACCTTTTTATACTCACAGCTAGTGTAACCTCAATATTAAAATTTCTGAACAATGATACGTAAAATGTAGAAAAATGTGACAGAAAAAATGTAGTTACTGATCTGTATATGAACTGCTGGTAACCAGAATTTTAGACCTACTTTCCCCTGATTTGAAACCTACCACACGAAGTGGCGGGTGTATGTATATGTGTGAAGTGATGAACAGGGGAGACACACTGTTTTGCACCTGCAGGTGACTTCAAAGCACCTTGAAATTTATCTGTGCTACTGCCCCCTGGAGCCAGTGTTCAGGGTTAAGGCAGGAGGCAGGTAAACACCACAAAGTGTGAACTTCATGGTGTGTAATAAATACAGAGTAAATCAAACAAGTAGCTGAATAATTTTGGTTTATGCTGAAATTACTGAGCACAGTAAGATCGAGAGCTTGAAATTTAGTTGACTTCAATTACCCATCTGATTTTCAAAGATTACTCAGCAGTCCCATCAAGGGGACTTGGCACTTTGGAAATGGTAAATGAAGTGCATACATACAGCAATGGAAGTTTTAGTAGAGAGATGAATGGATAATTGCAACCTGGAAAAATACAAGGGTGACACATGCAAACATTTTAGTGGATGGTTGGATGAAACCTACAGAAAAGGTGTCAGTAAAACATGCAGAAATTTTAGTAGCTCTCTGAATGGCTGGATGGGACCTAAAAAAAAAGGAATGAGCAAATCGATATTAAAATTCTATTATTATTCCAGCAAGTGGAAACAAAATAATAACAATATTCACTCTGTAAGATAATGTTAAAATTGAAAACAAAGGCATAAACATTTAAATTGAATGAATATAAGATGATGTAGTAAATTTGGAGGGATTTCTGCTGAGTCACTTTTTTTCTCTGAAAATAAAATGCATGATCATATAATCCTGAATTTTTACAACGTTATTTCAGATATTTTTTAACTAGTTTATTCTATTAAAGAAAATTTTATGTCTAATGCTCTGAGCTACTAATTTATACTGTAATAGCCACAAGATACAAAGAATTTATTGCATTCTTTGCCATTTCTTAACTTCACAGTAAATACAAAGGAACACAAATTTGTAACTTCACACAGACAGTAGCTACCAAAAAGAAATAGAACAGCAAAACAGACACACAGACAGTTATACTCTATCTTCCTAACTTCTGATCTTAATTTTGTCTTAGTAATGAGGTGAAAATTATAGGCTGTGGGATTTACATGGACTACCAAATTTTCTTTCCTAGATATGTATATAATTTTGGACAGATTGGAAGAAACTTTTCCCATTTTGTGAATTATGTTCACTATTAAAAAGATTTTCTTCTGGCAGACAAATATGAAGAAATCACTCTAAGAAAATATACTTTCCCCTACTAGGTGATACTCTGCAACAAAACAGGAGCTAATAGGAACAATTGCACTATAACTAACTTTTCCCAAAAAATTACTACTGAATGCCTGACAATGACATCTACATTGCTTTGCAGAGGTGACAGTTTCACTGGAGCATGGCAGAAGGTCATCTACATGCTAGTATTGAGACTTTCAGTGGAATTTTTACTGAGGCAGCAGCTGCCACCATGGACTGAAACTGGAAACATTTTCCATACAAGGATCCCAAACAATTTTTTTTGGTAGTAAAATCCTCCTAGCATCAAATGGTTCCTCTTAGGAGGAACAGTTTTTCTCTTATTAAATACTTGTGTCCTTCACTAACTTCAAAACATAAACATAATAATGTAGAAGGTAATAGAAATATTTGATAAGTTACCTACCATGTTTTCTTTTTTATTCAGTAAAACGTAGGCTCATGAGGAGTGGGGAAAACACCATCCATGTTCAGTTTGGGAGCAAACATTTCTCTCATGTCAAAATTAAAGCAAGCAGAACTAACTGCTGGAATAGCTTGAGGCAAGACCTTCATCTTTTTTTACTATCATTAGGCATGCAAATTATTCCTGAATTGCGTTTCGGTTACCAAGATGACAGATGTGATTACTCACACAATACTTTGTGTGTCAAAATAATTGCTCAATGCAAAGATAACTGGCAAAATAACATGCACTGAATCTTGGTTCAGCATTTTTATTTTCAAAAGGGTACTTTAACCACACACTCTCGGTGTTTATATTTTTACTTTAGTGAGAAAAATAGCCATGCATGCCTTTGCCAAATGAATCTTCAAGTATCAGGTAGGCATCCAGTCTGTCTATAAGACAAGGTTTTGTCTGGAAGAGGCCAAAAGCCAGAACCTATTTTCAAGCAAGCCATTTATTGATTTTCCATGAAAAAGCATAACCGTGCCAAATGAAAAGCAAGCATTGCATCAGTTGTAAGTGTATCTTGGTCTGGTTTAGCCTTTTATCAGAATGAACGAAAAAAAAGATCATTAATTTCAAAATAAGCTGATGGGGTGTTTGATTTCTACTTTGGCAGGGCTCCTACAAAAACAAAAGGAATTTAGCCCAGTTTCCTCAAAAATTATCTTAGTAACCAGAAGAAATGACAACAGAGCTGGAGTCTAATCTTAGCAGCAAAAAAATATATATTAAAACTGGAGCTGATTTTTACATGCATTGCTAGTGGAACAGTTATCTGTTTGTTCACAGCCAACAGCCCTCAAAGACATTTTTCAGAACCTGTAATGAGCTCAGCTGTTGGGTTCCTAGTGAGGACAGAAAGATGAATGTGTGATTTCTATTTTCAGATGAAAAAAATCTATAGGGCTTTTTGCAGAATAAAACACACAATATCAAGTTTCTGTGATAGAACAGAAACAGCTTAGAATGACAGCAGGAGACTGTCCACTTTATTTAAAAGCCACCAATGTGCACAATATCTGAGTTTTTGCAAGCTTGATCAGTGGCAACATCCAGGCTTATTGAAACATGGCTTTCTGCTCATGCAAATCACTTGTAATTTGATCTATTAATTAAACAATCTGTATAAATACTGTTGCTGGTTTGCAGAATTTTTGAAAATATAAGTATCATAATTTCCTTGTCCTGGCTAAATCATGCACGAAAAGGATCTAGGAAGCTTCACATCACACTTCTGAAATAAAACATCAAAATTCTGAATTAAAGCTCAAGCAATTCAGCCTCAGAATTGCGTTTAGAAATGTTGCCTTTACTGCCAATTTTTAAAATATGATTTCAGACTTACCTTTACCCTTTTCATTTCCACCCTCCTGCGGTGTTGTTTGTTCTGTGTAGGAATTACAAGTATATTTTTGAGAGGATCTTAAAGTAAAAAGAAAAACTTACACAGCATTAAAAAATGCAGTCATATTCTAGGTCCTGCTAGTATTGAAAAAACAACACTATAGAATGATTGATATATGTGTATATGTAATATACAGTTGTAATCCCCTAAAGCACTTTTCAATTGCATTTATCAAGGCAATTTCTATGTTTTGAACAAGTCATGTAAGATTGATGTTCCTGGACTCAGTGGAAGAAAAATACTAGGTTTTTTAGAAGTAACAGCTGTTAGTCTCTTGTTCTTGGGCTTATTTGTAAAAGCTTTCGAAATGAGTTACATATCACTGTTAATTTGAAAGGCATTGGATCAGATATGAGATACTGCCAAATACTAATGGTATCCAGAGCTCCATCACACCAATCAGTTTATCCTTAAGACAAAGTACAGAGAGAGTGTATTGAGGGGTTTCTTAATTCTTTATCGTCATCATCATTATTATTATCAACAGTCTTTCCTAAAATACTATTTGTATTTAGTCTTCTGAATCAGAACAATTACCAGCCTGTCCTCTACTCTGAGCAGGTGAATGTAATTTATTTTTGACCTCAGATGTATGAGAAACCTGGGACTGTACTTTTAACAAGATAAAAATTTCTACACTTTTTCTATTTCAGGATTTGACAGGATTCCTGTTCTCTTTGGTTTCCTACCTCATTCAATTTGCATACAGGGTCATCTAGAATCTTGTGACATCCTATGAATTGTGCTGTCTTCAAGGTATAAACACTCAATATCCGATTGCCTGTGAACAATGACTTTCTGTAGCAAACTTACCTGTCAGCTGCCTGACAGAACATGGGTTTGAGTGATGGTCAATGGACTAACATTATCAAGATGGAGCTAAGATAATATTTATTCCATGGAGGAAACATTGGCAAGAGCCAGCTGATATTGTGATTACCCTGATTTCTTGTTCGTGTGTGTAGCCATGGTAACTATGAAAACAAAACTTGAAGTTTAGAAAGCAAATCCACATTCTGAAAGTATGACAGACTTCTGGATGCTTCTGTCCATATTTCCTAAATTTCCAAGCTCCAGTTGTCAGGTTGTCCATCTTGCCTAGATGGTCAAGCCTGTTCCTTTTTAATGGGACTTTTGCTACAGTAACACTTTCTTTTCCCACCAGGAATTGGGATTAGGAGAATTCACTGTTCTTGGCAAGTGGTAGAATGTCTACATCTCATCTAAAAACTTCACTAGGTCTAGTTATTCCAGTATCATGGCTTGACATGGAGACCTAGAAGGAGCACTTACAATGGTTTCCCACTGTAAGTGGGTGCAGTTCAAGATGCTGATTATCTCCAATAAACTATTTATATGTTACAGAATTTGGATTCTTGAACAACCAACTTCCCTCTTGGTTTGATAGCACTTGGTAATCCAAGAAGACAGCATCTTGAGTCAGGCAGAAGGAAGCTAGAAGTGACTGACACTTCCAGCTTAGAAATATCCCAATTTGGTCTATGCCTAACCATAAAGGCCTGCTGACATCCTACTTACTTTACTGAAGAGGTACAGGTATGAGGAAAAGAAAGGGGGTTATAGAAATGATTTTGTATTTAATCTAGTGTTTTTAAGTAGAAACGAAGATGTTAATTATTTGAAAATGTTAATAGATGTTTTTAATGTAAAGCTTCAAAGATGCTGTGCCTTTCTGTATACAAAAAGCTGTTTCTCATTTCAGTTCTACTTCAAAGTTAAGATTGATGAAAACCATGAATTCAAGTACAAAGTACAACAGGTAAGAGCCTCAGTGTGAAAGTAATTACTTTAATGTTAACTGTACAAACTTTACAGTTGAGTTAAATACAACCATCATTAATGAAATGTCAATTAACTTTCCTTACAAATATATGCAATATGAAAGAGTTCATCACATAAAAATAATACATGGATTATTGAAACATGAAACTCTTTGTGGCAAATGATACTACTACCTTTGTCATTTTTCAATGAAAGCGTGTATTGTTGAAACAAAGACATCTTGAACAGCCTCTTAAAATGCCAGTTAACAAGGTTGTAAGTAAATGAAGGTTTAACACCCGTAGAGTATTTGTTCTGTTGGGAATTGCTATTTAGGTAGCTACAGAGAGAATAAAACTCACAAAATGGTTAAATTAGGCATGCATAATGTATATATGTATTAACCAGTATCTGGCAATATAACTCAAGTTACTCAATGCCACAAAGCAAAGGCTTCCCTACCTGTCCAGCTCCCACTAAAGAGAATGTAGCAGCTTTGCACAGATCTTCAACTTTACCTGAAGCTCTACTCCTTATGAGCGAGCTTCAGGTCACCTAATTTTGTCTTCCTGGCAGTTACTCACCCACTCCATTCTAGACAATCAGGCTTCTCAGGACAATTGCCCATATGCAGATGTCCAGTGACATTTTCGATAGGTTATCCAGGAAATGCCCATTGGATGAGCATGTATGACCCAGGATCTGCTCCACTGGTCATGGGTGGAGCACTATGGAACTACTTAGACAAGACACTTAATTTTCAAATGGCTAAAACTAAGTGAAATGAATCCCATGGTTGATCCTGTCAGCTTTACTCACAGTGTACTTTTGAGGAGAAATGAAAGGGAATATTTTGGTAATTAAATGCTGTCCAGCATCAAAGAAGGCAGCATAATTTAGCCACAGAATTTAACATTTACCTATATCCTGAAGGACCTGTGCAATATGAAACAAACAACTAGTCTTTCACAAACAAAAATTGAGTCTGAAAAATCAGCATTCAGGCAAAGCGAAGTGAGAACACTTTACTTGGGCAGGCTTTCTTATCTTCTCACTGTCCTCTTACTTTCAAAGGGACAATGAACACAAATCATATTATGGCCATGCAGTATTTAGTCTAATGCAACTGTTGTTTGGGTTACAGCTCAAATTAGTGTTTTTAACACTAACCTGGAGGTGGCGGTGCACTTTCATTTTCAGTTTCTGAAAAATGAGGAAAGAAGGCAGATATTGAGCTTCAAATAAAAGCAAATATTTTTCACACATTTAATATGTGTTTGTTGACTTTGGACATAGTTTGGATTCATTTCATATTTTCATGCAGTTGTCAAATTTTTTTTACTTTCATGCATGCAATACATGACAACTTCAGAGTGACAAGGTCAGAGGTCTAAAGCTTATGGTCTGCAAAGATAGGTCAAGGAACATTTCAGTACGGAGATATATAACATTCATAGAATCATAAAATTTTTTAGGTTGGAAAAGATCTTTAGGGTCATCAAGTTCAACCATTAACCCAGCACTGACAAGTCACCACTAAACCATGACCCCAAGCACCACATCTACACATCTTTTTAATACCTCCAGGGATGCTGACTCCACTTCCAGTGCTTGAAAACCCTTTCAGTGAAGATATTTTTCCTAATATTCAATCTCAGCCTCCCCTGAGGCAATTTGAGGCCATTTCCTCTTGTGCTATCACTTGTTACTTGGGAGAAAGAGGCCAACCCCTACCTGTCTACAACTTCCTTTCAGGTACAGCTTTCATGTAGTTGTAAAGAGTGATAAGGTCTCTCCTTGATTGCAGGTCAGCCACCTGCATGTATTTGTATTAATTGGGACCCAGTACATTTCAGGACCTTTTGGCAACTATAGTTTAGGACACTTCTGGAATATCATGGAATCCAAATTGAATTTCAAGTTTGGGTTTGATTTATTTAAGTCAATTGGGCTTGAACCTATGCTTAAAGGTATAACTTACCACATCAATATGCTTCTGTCAGATAATACCATATGTTTAAGGAAAATTTCCACCGATATAATATCTGATATGACTTTAATAGTGAAGTGTAATTGATCCATTAACTTAGGAGGATCATGCAGAGTGAATCCAGAGACCTTTGTCTCATTTTCACCACACCATCAGATCTAGAGATCAATGTTCACTGCAAAAAAAATCAGTTTATCTTCTCTGAGTAGGACCTACAGTATGTTTGGGTATTCTTTCTTTCAGTTATGGTTTTTAATATAGATCACTTCCCAATCAGATGTGTGATAAAGAAACCAGACTTTTTATCCTATTTAAATGTTATCCTTTTGGGATGACATGTTCTCCCATCTAAAATATAAGAACAACTTGACTAGCTAAAACTTATTTTTAAAACATTAGAGGAAGCTTATTTCCAACATTTAAAAGCTTTGGGACTTTAAACTAGTTGAAACCAGCAATATTTATTGGAACTAGTTCATTGACTTACTGTTTAACTACTTAGAACAAAGTAAAGATTTAAAAGGTTGAAGTCTTTAACTGTAACAGTAGATAGCTCTTACTAACCTTTATCATGTTATGGGTATTAACCTTTGGGGCCCCACCTCAAGTCATATTCAGGAAATAAAGTTTCAATCTCTTTCACACAGAAATGGGGGTAAGGCTATTCCTCTGCACTCAGGTCTAAATATAACTAAAACATACTTCTCATTCCTAATAAATCCATTAAAGTTTCAAAGGGAAGAATATTTTTAGTGCAAGTATAATTTTAAGCTGATTGTGTGCATTTGATGTGGTTTAGAAACTTTCAGTCACATACACAGATACAATAGAAAATCCTTGTAGAGATTCCAAAGAGAAACCCTCGCTATGGGGAAAGAGCTAGTGTTGTACATTCTGGTCACAGCACCCATCACACAGAATGAAAGGCAGAAGTATATTAAAGACCAACACACAGAGTGTGCTAACAGTAAAATATCTTAGGTTCATAGCAATTTATTTTTTCTGGTCTAATTACTAACATACTAAGTGTTGTTTTGTGGCCTAGAAAAATATGAAAAATTTTCATGTGAAAATATGAAAATTACAACACAAAAAGTATGCCTTGGAATATATTCACTTCGCTGCCATGACATTTCTCACTACTTCCACTGAGAATAAAATAACATCTCTATGGCGTGGAAATATATTTCTTGCATGAAAAAGTCATAGCAGAAAATTATTGACTGCATAATTTTCCTTGTGAAATTTAATAGCTAGAAACAGGGAGTATTCTTATGAACACTGAATTAGAAAATTCTCCATGGCTCACCAGTATAAACAAAAGCTTAACAAATAAAGCACTTTCCAGACTCAGATGAAAAACTTATGAGATTTCTGAGGGACTTGCCTAGAATTTTTCTTTCCTTTTGAGAGGTGTTTCATGGTTACATCAACGCAGTAATGTTACTCAGAAACAACATATCTTTCAAGTCCTGCCTTACCCAGCAGTAGGCACAGATATGAGTCAAAATCTACAGCACAAACTGACCTGAAACACTATTACTATAGTCTAAACTTCATAGTCTAAACTGCAGACACAAAAGGAGATATTCAAAACCTGAGTACTCTCAAGGGCAACTGCCTCGAGTTGACCCTGTTCCTAGAAGGGAGATTGGACTAGATAATCTCCAAAGGTCCTTTCCAACCTCAGCTACTCTGCAATTCTGTGATGGGATGACGGCTGAAGCCAAACCAAGAAGTCAGTGGTTTCTTTCCTAAACCATAATTCTAGACTGTTTGGACTATTGCTAAGAAAACTGAGGCAAAAACTGAGCTCAAGGGAGAGACCTGACGTATAGTGTGGGAAGAAAAAGGGGAGAGTTCCAGGCAATGGGTGTGACAGAGACACGGGAGATACTTCAACATAATCTTTTGGCCATGTGCAACCCCTTTCATGGTCATGCTTGGCTTACAGCTCCATTCCTGAGGACAGCCAGGAAAAAACCCATTAATAGCACGGAGTGGTTTCCACTTCCCCAAAGAATGATAGTCCTCTCTGGCTGACCTCTGCAACAAGCTTGTCAGCCAGGAAAGGGCTCTGTACACTCAACCAGCAGCTTATGGTTGTGCTCCTTCCCTAGGAGGCATGATCACTGGAGTCCCCAGATGCCATTCCTGACAGCCCGTTGCCTAATATGGTGCTCTGTTGAGGCATTGTCAGGGGGGCTGGTGGCGGAGAAAGTGTTGCCTCCAGCACACAGTCCTCAACCCCTTTGGAGAAGAAGTGCTGTTCACTGGGTTACAGTGATGCCTCTTGAGCTACAGGGAAAAGAGGTTATTGAAGGTCCAGTTGCCACTGAACTGATACCACCATGTCCACTGGACCTTCTATTGAGCAACTAAAGTTAACTTCTGCCTCGCAGCTTCTAAGACATGAGGTCTCTTCTTTACAGTTTTTTGTTTGAGAAGCCAAGAATGTTGCGTGTCAGTGGGTTGTGTCATGCTAAACACCAACCTCGAGTTAGTCATTGGTTGTGAAACTTGTAATGGATCTGGCTCTATGTAATTCTTCAGAAAGAACAGGAATTAACATAACAGTCCTCTCTACATGGCTACTAGAAAAGGAGAGTATATTAAGAAGTGTAGTTAGCAAATAAAGGGAAAACACAACTGCCACTTAGATAACATCTCCATAAATGCTTTCATGCCTCATCCATGTCATGAGATGCATTCAGGATCCAGTTTGACACAGGATATGAGCACTAAGAGCCACGACATTTTTATTTGTGATTTATAATTATACATGTGCACATACACTCTTGAAAATCAGCAGGAGATGCAATTTGACCCATTACCAACAATTTTCTATCACTGTTTCACATTTACTATGTTCAATTTTTCAGATAAAATAAGACTTAAAATATCTCGCTATGTATATAGATAACTAAGCTTAAAATTTCCATGAGATTACCAATGTGTTTAAGTTATGGAAATGCTTAAAAGCCATGTTAAAGTGGGACCATCATTATTTAAAATTTCTGTTCCATTTTAGGTCTGGTTACACTGACATCCGAACTGCAGTAGCCACAAGAAGGTTTGGCAGGGAACTGACATATAGATGTCAGTTTGTGTGTGGTGGCCAGTTTTCAAGGTCTCTGAATTCCCACTTCCACTGGCTTCTCTGACAGCACCAAGCATGGAAACTCCCTGACATCATATATATTAATTTTCACACTGAAGTGTAATCATAATGAGGCATGTTGACAGTTCTAAAACAGTCTCCAGGTCCTACCCTACTACTGTGCTGGATGCAAAGCACCTTGGAGAGTTGAAGTTCAGACCATTCAAGAACTACAGCTTATCAACAAGCATACTGGGAATGAGGTCTGCCTGAATAACCCTTCTCATCTTACAACTCTACTCATGACTAGGTTTGTTTTGGGTAGGTTTAGGAACTTTCAATGATTTTGGAAAATGAGTAGTGGGTTTGGTTTTGGGTTTTTTCTTTCTTTAGGTAAAGAAAATGACCTTGAGCATGAAGTCAGGGCTTGCAGAAAGCCCAAAGATATCATTTCACCGTCACTGGCCTGGGGCATTCACAGGAAGGAGGAGGAAAGTCTCCTCCACTAATTTCTGCCTTCAGTTATTTACAGATCACTTACAACCCAGTGAAGAATAGCCAAGGGATTCAGAATCTCACCCAGTCTGATCAAAGGACTTATCCCCCATTTACCTGAAAAGGAAATCAGGACTATGGCTGCACCATCATGGATACAGGTATGATATCTGTTTGTGTAACAGCAGCATATTAAAGATACTTTCATATGTCAAAGAGCATGAGGATAGTCACTTAGTGCTTTTTGTCACAAAGACCTGTCAACGTCAACTTGTGTCAAATTTAAGTAGGTGGATTAAGCTTGTGGACATAGCCTCGAGGGATCAGACAAATATAACTATTACGTAGGCATTCCCAAAGTGCTGACTCTGCTAGTCAGACAAAAATAGACAAAATGCTAGTTTGGGGAGAGAGCATGGCTCACCCCAGCCCTTGTGCAGTTGTTGTGCGTGAGGATTGTCTCCTGTGTCTGACCACTGTAAGCCACAAGAACTGTTGTTGTGGCACAAGGCTCTCTCAGGGGTAGATACTCCACAGAAATCGGTGGGCAGGAAAGGACCAAGGATGTGGAAGAGTTACTTGACAAATCTCATGTCCAGATCATCAGTATGCAAAAGC